TCGCTGAAAAAAAAAAAGTAAACGAGACTATAAACTATAAAAGACTTTACGTTTTCATATAATTTTGCATTATTTATTTTTCTCAGAATATCCTCGATTTTCTGCCTTGTAAAGAGAAAAAGATCGATGGGTGCTCGGATGCACGAGATGCAATCGTAAAATCATTTATTTTTAGCCAAGTATATATAACTGACATGTATGTATGCGTGTCGAGTGTAAAAATTAATTTTCATATTATGTGATATATCTTTACCGTTTAACCGTTCGTCGGGGAAGAGGAAGAAAGGGAATTTACGATAGCCCGATGAAATAGGCAGTTAACGAGCTCTTCGTTTAATTAGAATCGTAATATAGTACTGTCGGCGCCGCGGCGGACTTGTGCGCCACTTTCAACAAATTACAATGTTCGGTGACATTCTCCTACGAGCGGTAGAACCCGTTACCGGCCTCGACGACAAATTGCGAAATTGCTAATCATGTGAATTGCATTAATTCATTTTGTTCGTGGCGCCGTCATCTCTGCTTGGAATGTTCCTAGACTTGGGATTATTTTCATTACTGGTTCATTTTCGATCGCTCAATTATATATGGATAGATCGTAATATTAAAATTTAATTTATTTAGTTGTTATGTTAATTAAAAATTAATTAAAGAATACCCAAGTCACAATTGTCTGTTGAAAAAAAATGTAAGCCTAATTTTATTTTATGATAATAATTTTTCATGATTTTTTCTTAATTTTAAATTAAAATTAAAAATTTTTTTTAAATATATGAAAAATAAAAGGTACGTGAATATTGGCAATATTTGCCAAATTATGGATAAAATTAATCTGTGGATAAAAATTTAATTTTTTTTTTACATTTTTACTCGTCATCACTATAATATCTAAATCCAATGGCTCCAATGAAATTAACATGAATTATATATCAAACATAGAATAAAGAATTCTCGTTACTATTATTCCGCATGAGGAGAGCTTCGAAGACGAAATTATTCAGAACAGTGTCTGAACAGTACCAAACAGAGCAGAAAACACGCGTCCTGGTGGAGTTCGTACAAATCAAGTTTACCATCGGAAGAAGCCTGCTGGCGCACGTCTACCATAAATTTTAGTACGTCATCTCCGAGGAACGGCCTCGTCCCAGAACCGGCACTAAACTCTTTTACGAGCTGGGCTGCAACTACGGCGCGACAGGGCCGTTTGGATGTCGTTGACTTGTTTTTCCCGTCCTCGTCCTTCCTCGGATAAAGTTCGTCGAGCCAACAGTGGAGAGGGGTAAATAAAATCGGGTAAATAAAATTCGGAAATCTTCCGAGATCGTTCGAGAACGCGTTCGGATCTTTCCTTTCACTCGCGCGAAGATAATCTGGCTCGATATCAGGAAGGAGGAAGTCGAGAACTCGCGCGGAACTGACGATTATTTAGTGCAACGCATTGATAGGTAAGATGGGATGAATGTACTTTCCGTGATGCATCATCTTTTTTTTTCATCGCTTTTAAAAACAATGAGTCACACGAGTGGAAGTGACTGAAGCAAATGCACTTGGCAAAATGCAAGCAAAAACGTGTTAAGTAATCAGCCTATATATTTTTTATTAATAATCGTTTACTTTTTCAAACAAATCTGTTTTATGAATGAATTTCTTGGCATCGATGCAATGAATTGTATATCATAAATTGCGAACTTAGTTCTCTGCCGCCAAAAAACACCTCAAGTTCGAATAAAGATGTGACTCGTCCTGGAGATTCAGCAGTTGTATTTTACACGCGAGTTGCTCCCAAGCATGCATAATGAAACGATACTCTTACGTGTACCAAACATCTCTTTGACATTGTACCTTCACCCGCGCGCCGTGTTTGCTTACATCTGCTCAAACTCATATCTTATCCGCATTACGTTATCAAGGTAAACGAGGTAAATTTACAGCCGATTTGCGTAGCTATTAAACGTGATATATGAGCGGTCATATGCATTCACGTGTTTTATATCTTTTGAAGATATTCCAAATAAATTGTCTACGATGGTACAATCCCTCCCCTATAGAATATAATATTCTAATAAATTAATAATATTATTACTGACAAATTTATACAATAAATATATCACGGGAAAAAGTTAGCTACTACAGCTAAAGTTTAGCTGTCTCTATATTACACATTAAATTTGGTTATCATGTCTAACTTTTAGCTAACTAATATTTTTAGCTATTGAATTCCCCATTAAACTATAACTAAAAAATATTAGTTAACATAGCTAAAATTTAGGCATGATAAATTTCAAGTTGTAATATAGTGACAGCTAAAATTTAATTATAGTACTTAATTTTTTTCCATGATTATATGTACAAATTTTATAGAAAATATATATTAACAGTTTGATTACACTATATATTATAATGATATAGCAATCAAAAGATTTTGTTAACTGTCGGCTCTCTCATAGTCCAATCTTCTAAATATTGTAAAAATTTCCCTGATAAACGTATACGATGACATGAATTTCTGATTATCTGATTATCTGATATGACTATTTATTCTCTAAGCTACTTCCTATGCTCTCGCAAGAAGAATCCGCCAGTACCGGATCGTTCCGAGTTGAATATCGGAGATCTTTATGATCTCCTCGCTATCTGATGACGAGAAGCTGTTACAATACCAACAATCCAAAAATATATATTGCTAGCCGGGAAGGCATGACGTTCCGTGATCTTGCTCACATTTCGGTCTAGGATAACGTAGACCGGGGAAATACATCGTAAAGAGAGAAGAGAGAGAATACACGTGCGCGCCATATGTCGCAACCGCGTGTCGTATAACTTTTGTCGTACGTGCCGAACCTTGAACTGTCGAATGCGTATAGTCTCTGGACGATATAAGTAGATACGCACGATTGATACCGAGACGTGCCTGCGATTGATCGGGAAACGTAAACGAGAATTCAAGCGTGGCGCGGCGCGTCTCGCGATCAAAATCAACTCCAGCTTCTCCGCCCCCGTATCGCTTGTATTAATAGTTCACGCTTTGGCAGCTTGCCTATCGCTTCCTTTCATTCATGTTCCTGTTGCCCTGTGCTAGTAAGGGTAAATATAAATAAACCAAGAATATGGCGATCTTGTTCAACAAGGAGCACCGCTGAGATTCCGAAATATGTATACAAGAAGAAAAAGACTAGAGCTTTGCCGAACTGCACGGAAATTAATATATGTAAAAGATATATGATTTCGAAAAGAAAATTAATTTTAATCTGATAAAAAGATACTCAAAATTAATTTGAAATTATACTTGACGGAATAAAAAATTTGATAATGCGATACTATAATACAAAGATATATAAATAGAATTGATGATTCTATATCGATCTGCCGCGATCAATATTATTATTAACAGTAGCTAAACTATATTCGAGACTATATTTAATAATAGTATGGTGAACTTGGTATATGTATATAGAGAAATGAATTATATATATGAATCATCTTTCATCGTAAATGAAAAAGTAGATTTAATAAATTAATATATTGGTTTAATTGCTATTGTGTGCTTCTGAGTTAATTTCATTGGTCTTTTGTCCCTTTCGAAAGCAATCTTTTCGAGCAATTTTCATCAAGAATGACAATTGAAAATATGCACACGAGACAATTTTTATGCCGGATGTATGTGCATTTATTTTAGAAAATCGCTCTTTCGTAATTCATAAGACCTGCATTCTCGGTTTACACGTAATATACTTTCTCTTTCCCTTATAGAGATGATTACACATTTCATAAGTAATTTAACCTTTAACAGCTGACAAGTGTCAGTTGTTACAAGTATTATAATCTTAATATCTCATATATGCGTGTTTTTTTATTCTAAAAGTAAATAAATTAAATATCTTTAAAATGTCTTTTTTTTAAGAAAAAATTATTTTAAAAAACCAATAAAATATAAAGGCATAATTTTAAATATATATTAAGTAATATTAAATAAAATAATTATCAAATAATATACATATTATTTCATTAAAATTACGGCGTAATGCAAAACGAATTTTACGATTAATTAGCGATTAACTTTGTAACAAAACAAAAATTTTTAACGTGTGTTCTATGCTTAACTTCATTTTATAGCGCGTTGCACGGTTTAATTTTCGTTGTAGAGAAAGAACTTTCGTTACAAAATGTTCAAGAATCGAGTGGGCGAGCGATTTCTATAGCGTGCCACTAGATGCTAATTACGTTGTACTAGCCGATCGGACAGAGACGATATAATCGGCTTCGTAAGCTGGATAAATCGTAATTAACCCAATGCAATTTCAACCTCAACTATTGTACACGAGGAACGGATGCATGGCGTAACGTCGAATGTAGGCCGTCGAAATCTTTTTTCTCTTTTTTTTTTTTACAATCCGATACGCGACCACGTCCATGCGGATCACGTGTCGGAACGTTGTAAGGTTGCAATATAATACAATTAGGCTCATTGAGATAACGCCTTTGAGCACGAAAAACCAGCAGCTCGTCAAATATTTTTTTATATGATGTATATAATTTTATAATATTTATCATTAAATTGCAAATATCTTTTAGTGAGATTTTGGATAAATATGGAACAATTAAAAAACTCGGAATATGGAAATGTATTAAAATGACAAAAGATCGCATATTTAATTACCGAGAAAAAATATATAGGTATATACTATTATGAAAATATACTATTTAGACTTTTTACACAAGCATATCATTTTATAAATGAAAAAATATTTTTCAGGATATATAACAGTATTTATATATCATGTCTTCAGCTTTGTTTTTTAGGTAGAGGTAGGCGGACGGAGCTCTCTAATAATTGAGCTTTGAATATTGTAAATTGAGGTTTTGCTCTATGAGCACTCTATGTGCACTATTTCGCAATAAGATCGGCAGATACCCGACGGTAGTATAATTGTAGCGCAGGGTTAATTTTTCGCGGTCGTGTTTGACGACATTGTCGCATAATAATATATCGCAAAACTTACCGTAAGTAGAAGTGGAAATGAGTTTTCACCGTGCTGTAGAAACTAGAGCGGAACTAGCTGAAGAAGCGGACCGACGTGAGATTTACCGTAAGATGTCCTTCCCTTTGTCGTTTTTACGTTGTACTAGAAAAATACAAAAAAACCATTATGCTTAAAGTTCCGTATATATATCTGAGATGATACTAAAAATTAAATTAAGGATATTTTTAAAAAACATTGAATAATGTGATTTTTAATAATTAATTAAAAGATCAAGATTTTGTTTTGCATAATTGTGTTCAAATAATAGAAATAATTTTTGGTAAGGAAACATGTTTATTTATGACTGAAGTCAGGGATTGTATCTGACAAATAATTAGAAAAAAATCTGATTAGCTAGTTAAATCTTATTTCTCCCTCATCTCTCTAATTTTACGCCTTACTGGATCATATACACGGATATTTCCGTCCACGAGCAAAATAAGTTCCCCCAAACAGTTTGTTTTCATCTCCGAATCGCGCGAATGTCCACATTTTCTCGCGGAAAAAGAGAGACACGCATGCATTTTTGACGAAGGAGACTAAGGCGTAACCGCCGTCAATTTTGCATTCGGAGCCTGGATTTCGAACAAGCTCGCGAATCTCGCGAAATTCGCGATTCCGCCGACGCGATGCTACGTCCGATTAATCTTTGCGCGTGCCAGCAGCCGGGGAACGTCTATTTATTGCCGTCGCGCGCCAAGGATGCGGACGGTTTCCTGGTTCAAGTGCACCCCGAGGAACGTATCGCGCGCCCAGGAATTTAGACGACACTTCGAAACGACCTCCGTACGCGAGATACGACGAATACACGGCTATGCATATTTGTACAATGAGCATTTATGGCACCGAGACGCGATGCAAACGACTGCGATGACGCCTCGACCATGCCTTCATTGAATATCCACCGTTCTCTCTTCTTCTCTGTTTCTCCTTACTTATAATTAGCGCTCGTATTCTACCGCGATGCATATGCTACGCGTGTAACGGCACTGACAAGTCATCGTACAATGCATATACGGGTGTCTTTTCTTTTCTCTTCATATATATAGGAGCATGAGATAGTATCGTAATATATAGTCACGTTAAAGCATTGCTACGCGCGCCTGCAACACGATAAAAGCAAATGAAGTAATTCATATAGTTACTGATTATCAAGAAAGTAAGAGTTCACATAAATTTTAATTATAGTATCTGGCGAGAAATATGTCACTCATTATTTTCTTGCATTTTATTTCGATATAAATACGAGATTATCTTGAAGATCATCCAACTTATCCAATTTTCAGGAAGATATAAATAAGTATAACGAAGAGAAATAAACTTTTTCCCAAAGGAAAAATGAATAAATATTATAAGAATTTTCGACACAATTCATGAATAGAGTTGGCAAACTTATGTTGTCACTAAGTTTGTAATGCATAAACTTATGATGCTTCCTATCGAAATCAGGTTTTTTTGGAAAAATCCATTCAATCGCGGGCGATCGATTGTTCGAAATCGCATTGTTTTGAATTGCAAGAAGGTACCTCTGCCGGGGCCGACGAAGATTTATCCCTCTATCGCTCTAATTGAGTTCTCTCTGACAATGAGACGAGACCCGATCGCGATGTAAAGCACGCACCCGATATCGGGAGGCTCATCCGTCGTTCGGTCGCGTGGCCCGCGCGAGAGGCAGCTTCAAGCATCACAGCGCCGGCGACGGCCTCCTCTCTTTCTCCCAAGGGAAGAGGGCATCGCCCTGACCGTGACCTAGCCACCGCTCTCCACGAGCGAACAAACGTACACGTACGTACGAACGTACACATCCATCCTCTCTATCGACGCGCGCGAGTGACCAGTTTGAACGCTCGGGACATACACACACACATATATATACATAGATACACGCACGTGTGCGTACCATCATCTCGTCGCACAATGATGCTCCTCTGCGAGCGAATACTCCATCGTATTCTGTTTATCGTCGAAAATGCGGCGAAACTTACGTACGATTTTGACCAAGTATAATATGATGTGATTTTTGTCATAAAAATTTTGATATTTTTTTTATTAAAAAAAGTATACGTACATATCTCTTGTATACGTATAATAATAATTATAATATACATTATAATAAATAATTGTTATAAAAAAATTAATATTGTATATACAAAGTTCAGATTTTTTTAAACAGATGCTCTGTAAATGTAATTTATATTCATATTATTAAACTGCATAAAATTATTTTAGAAATTACATTGTTTTTTATTTTTAGAGTACCTACACGGAGAGAATTTTCTCTTAGAATTTCCAAAAAATCATGGTAATCGTGAGACAATATAATATTAGAAATTGGAAGAATTGTATAAGAGTTTCTCTGATTAATATTTTTACCACAATAAAAAATATTAATATGTACATAAAATTAATCGAACATATTTTATATCTTATTGTGGTAGATATTAATTATAATAGAGAAACTCTTTTAAAATTCTTCCAATACTGTCCCACGATTACCATGATTTTTAGGGTAAATTCTAAGAGATTCTCTCTATGTACTTAATTTAATATTTTATGCTCTTGTTAAACTCAAAATTATAATAAAGATCTCGTTCCTAGATTTTTACATTTGCTTTATAAATAAGAAATATATTGAGAATATTAGAAAATTTTCACGAAATATTCAAGAAATACGTTTCGAAAATGCAGGATACCTGCTTGCTATTCGCTGCTCCGTCGTATTTCTAAAATATACACACACATATATACATGTTTGGAAGAGGGAGCACTTACAATCACGCGATCGGACCCTCGAGAAAGGTGTCTGTGCGTGCGTACAGGTCGTATGGCAAAGGCCCGCATGCTCGTCCCTGGACCGACAGCGAAACCGGCCCAGCTTCTAATATGTTATGGCGAGAGCTAGCTACCTTCGCACATTCGCCCAGTTGCTCTTCTCCGCGATATTTCGTCGTGGATTTACCTAAGCAGCGTCTCTCGCGCTTAAGCATCTCGTTTTTCTTACGCATAAGCGCGTCTATAGAATACACGCAATATAATTCTCAGCTTATGCCTTTTTCATGCTGTAATAAGTCGATATTAACGACCCATAGGTTTATCTAGATTTCGAATTATTTTGACAACAAGTAATAATATCGCATATTCGTAAGCATCGTATGTTTAATCTATCGCCACGATATATATATATATCAGGTCAATTTATTATGCGAAAGCATAGGATTTAAACATACGATGCGAATATATATATATATGCAAATAATAATTTATAATTTATAATTCTTTTTTTTTTATTTAATTTTTCGGATTATATTAATGCTTCGATAAGTCGGCTTGTGAAAATACGATATAAATTCCCCATCCGTTGTGATACGATTTTTTTTTTAAAAAAGTACACATTGTGATTATGTTAAGTAAAAAGAAATTTTTTTTAATGTATGTTCGCGACAAAAAAGTAAGTTAACACTATTTAATGTAATTCGGATATATTATTTGTTCACAGTTCGTTACATAATATAACAGCATCTTCTAACTCATGCCAACAATGAATTTTGTACTGCGTAATAATCTCATAAATGTTGTATATAATAAGGTCGATATGACTAAATTAATTTTTTATATTATAAGGATATTGATGTCGTACAGTCGAATTTATCTTAACTTTTGTATATTATGACGTAAATTATAAAAATTTTTCAATTAATAGCATATAAGCTCGTTAATTTTTCCGATTATATATTAATTTGTTATGGTATCATTTATGACGTGGCGTATATATTAAAGTTTAAGACACATGTCAATATTAAAGATTCTCAATAAGCAAGTACTAATAAAACTTAACGTAGAAAGTAGTTCTACGTAATATATGCTATGGTGAAGATCAACCATAGATAAATTGGACGTTCTATGAAAGCGGCAGCGCATGGGTTGGCGTTTATAGAGTTTATGATGATCAAAGTGCTCGATGACCGTAAAACACCCTGACATAGTTTAATAAAAGCTGACACTGATCTCGGTAGCATAAAGTAATCTTTTTATGCACCATAAAATGTTACGGTGGCTCGTTGTATTAAAAAAAAAAGTATTCATATAGAAGACGAAGAAACGTCGCGATGCCTCACAAAAAGTTATTTTACTGCGTCTCGATCAGCCTTGATCTTAATACGAAAATATTTATTCACGTGTTACTTTAATGTTTATCATATCGATGCAGTCGTCTGTAAACATTTGCACCGACACGGATATAAATGATAGACTATCCCGCTATGATTATGCAATACTGATCATCTGTTGCAGGGTCGTTTATAATTTATAAACTAACTGGCGATAAATCCCTAAGAGTAAAAATTACTTTAATAATCAACACGTCGAGATGATAACGCCTAATTAAGAAAGCAGCTTTGCAGCAGAATTTTTACATCAATTTATACTTGATATTAATTATTTTTAGTCATGTTTTTCCGTAAATATTTTCCACGAATGCTGAAATCCAGTTGACTTTTAGGTATAAAAAGAAAAGGGATGATGCAAAAAAAAGGAAAACGTAAAGACGTATAAAAACAACTTGTAAGAGTGTCGTTTTAATAGTGGAGATTATTTTGGCGAATTTATACCATACGATTCGGAAGGCTTTTTAGATGCGCTTGCGCGCACGAAATAGCAGAGATGGTATTTTCAGAACGTATGTGACCGCAGCTGCAATTCCGCAGACATCCATTACAACACCAATATACCAAAATGCCAGCGCCATGCATTGTGTGATATTTCTTGAAATTTAAAGAAGGCGCAATTTAGATGCATTCCGCGATGACTGTTTTAATTAATTAGGTTTTAATTTCAATTATACAGAACGGCTGACACAAGCATTGAGCATGAATTGCACCTATTATATCTCTTTATTTTCTACTTGGATCGAATTAATTGGCTTTACAATATTCCTTAATGACTCTATCTTTATTTTTCACAATATTCAATATATATCGGAAATAATTCCAGCCTTTTCATTTTTAATGTGATTTCTCGAATACACGTATTATAGTCTCATAAAGTTTTTGCTTCCCTAATGATTGAAAAACTCACTGAACACGCGATATCATCATTGCGGTTCATCTATTAGACATTTAACAACACTTTAATTATATATTTTTGCGCCGCGAGCATTAAAAATCACGCAAATCATCCTTAGTATTATAAGTTGCCACAAGAGAAACACGATGAAAAAAAATTACATCCAAGTTCAGCGGACGGAGATAATCGGATCGGACTCTCTCTCTCTCTATGCGCAGTTTAGTACCGCGCGAGGTCTCTTAGATAAACCAAATAAAATCGCTAGTGAAAAACAGAGACTGTTACGTGCGCGAGCCACGCGGACAGAAATATCCAGCCTTGACTTCTTCGCGATCCTCGTGTCGATTTCCTTCTCCGAAGACTACATTCTCGCGTCTCTCGCTCCAGAACTGCTTTGAGAGGCTTGTTTGCTTCGCTTCGAACGATCTGCGGCGAAAGACGCGGAGATAGAAAGAGAGAAAGAGGAGCGACTCATCTCCGCGCGTTTGCATGCATGATCGCAATGTCATTGAAGTGACCGCGCGTGTCATAGGTATCGTAGGAATTCTATCTGACTGACGTGCGATGCAATCGGGCGTATCGAAGGGTACTACGCGACATGTCTCGCCGTGGCGAATGAACAGCTATTATCAGCGAACATGTGTCTCGCGATCTCTGCTGTATCGTGAACAACGGCAAGGTCATCAAGAAAAATACGATTTCAATCGCTTGAAGAGTCTCCAAAGCGTATCTAAAAATTGAGACTGGAGATGATCCTCTCAAAATGCTTTTACTCTTATTGTCTTAGCAAAACCGTGTATTTTTTTTTTTTTAATATTATATTAGCAGAGTTTATATATTTTAGAATTAAACAATCATGTTCTATCCTATGCATAAAATTTATTCTACAAGATATAGAATTTAAAATATCTTGGAGATCTTAAACAATTTTCAGAATTAATTTTTTTATCTTCAAATTTGTTAATTTACTGTCGGAAGGAAATGATATATTTTGGAACAAAAAGTTTTCGGAAATAACACATATGGCGAATGTGACGTGCGAGCATAAACCGAATATAATATTTGTGCGCGAAATAATAAACAGATTCCAGACGAGCATTTGCTATAGATAAAAGTTTAACTTAAAATTTATTTGTAATAAGACAAATAAAATATCTACAGTACTTTGTTAGAACGATTTTATCTTTTAACTTATTATGGCGAGAAAAAAATTCGTAATTTAATTATATCGAATTACTATAGTACAAGAATATTACCATACACTAATGATAAGTTATATTGGCGATTAATTTTTATTTTGATCGAAATTTCAACAATTTAATTACTTTCTTAAATATATTATGGTTAATATATACAATCAAGTGTTGTTACTGGTAATTTTATTATTTAATGGCGTAAATTTCCTAATTGTATTAAATGTTTTCTATTAACCTTTAACACTTGTTTTGGGCAGGAACAAGACATAGGATGGGCCGAATCGTGCAAAGAAGTGTCGTTCAACACTGAAGGGGAGGAGTATCTTAAAAAAGCGAGAGAAGCAGGAGAGCGTGAAGAATGCCTGCTTCATCGCAAGCCGCCGCAACCGAGCGGCGAAACGAAAGGACGGTCAGTATTCGTTATATATTTTAAATGAATTATTATGCAATATACAATCCACGATTCACAAAAATAATTGTAATTCTTTAAAACGAGATAAATTTTCTACAGAATAGAAAAATGAAAAAATTTTTAATTTTCTATAATACACTTTACATCGATCTATTTTTACGGAAAATTATTCTACATTTTAACAAACAAATATTGTTTGCTTTATATATAAGTCTTAAATATTCTGTCTATGGTTCCAAGTTTTGTTGTGATATATTAAAATATAAAAAATGTTTAAAAAATTGTAATCTTCTCCATTCTCTCACAGCTAACGCAAGAACCACCGAAATTGAAAACTACATTGAAAACACCTCCTAAGCAAGCAACGAATCCTTTACAATTCGTCAAGGTTGGACCATGTTCGCTGTATCGAACTGCGCAAGAGCAATTGCAAAAGGTTCAAGAAGTAAAGAAGGTCAAACAGGAAGTCCGTGATGATCCAGAAGATTGGCAATCAGTAAGTCTCCGTACTTGATATCTTTTTAGTAAAAAGAAAGTGATATTCCCCTCGACATAATTTAGTAACTTATATTCACATACGATAGTCTAGAATTTATTTAAATATAATTAATATAATTAACTGATTAGTTAATGAATTAATATTTATTCTGGATTAAAAATATATTTTGTATGTACAAAATTTTTTCCCTTAATTTTGCTCTCTTTTTGTCTATTAATTTTTTAAATTAAAATATAAAATATAAAATAAATTAAATCACTTATTACACTCATATAAAATTTACAAAGACACTAAATCTTTTATTAAAATTAACTAAACGCATACTATTTATTTGAATTTTTTAAAATAAAGAATTAAATTAAATTAGAGATTAATGAAACTTTTTTAACAAAACCAACATTCAATCCGCAGAATTTAGATAACTGGAAAAGTAGCCGAAGGAAGCGGCAGGAACATATAATAGAGCGAGTGGTGGAGGTGAAGAAACTCGAGTTAGAGGAACATGACCGTCAGCGTCGTCGAAACAAAACGTTTTCGGAAATGATGGAAGAACGCGGTAATAGAGGTCGCAAGCTAAGCATCAGTCTGGCTATGTACAACGATGAAGACGCGAACGATCTCAGCGACCTTGGAATCGGTACCAGCAGCGGCAAGAGCTCGATCAGCGGCGATACGCATGACGACACGCACAGTGTTCTGGTAAGTCTATCTATTTAAATACATGCAATGGTTTGCATTCGATTCGCTTTTATCGAAGGACAATTTAATCTATTAACACAGGGATTCTATGTAGATTTTCAAATTTTATTTATAAATTATTTATGAATATAAAGGTTTTTTTTCGACAAGTGCAAAGTTCTTCATTGTGCGAAACGTTAATTCTTTTTATCATAAATTTGTTAATTTACGTATAAAAGTATAGGCTTGTGAATTCAAAATTTAATCATCGAAATCTCGCTAACAATGACACATATTAATTTACATTACGTGCACGTGAATGCTGTATGTTCGTTCAGTTGTTTGCATCATATTACATGTTTCTTATAAATACTTATTTAGTTAAATTCTCGCTTGTCGCGCGGGTTGATATTTGTTTTCTCCATTTTATATGTGCGAAAAGTGATAAGAAAAGGCTAGATTAATGGGGAAAAAATTTAAGAATGTTTTATACTGCGAAATATTTTTAAATATTTAAGTTTGGTTACAGCTATCATTTGATCGAGATAATATGACTGTCGTTTATCAAATTTTAGAGTGACCGGGATAGCGAGATCGAGAAGAGCCATTCGGACGTGGATTCATCCACGATACTAACAACGGCGACAACAATCGCGACCACATCAGGAATAGCAACGATCATATCGTCGACAACAGCGGTGACGACAGTGACGGAAGCCATCACGGCGATGCCGACGACGACTACGACAGTGACGTCGGCAACGTCCACTCCGACGAGGAAAGTATTCAGTGATGGTTTTCACGGCAGTCACAATCATAATCAGGAGTATGATTCCGCTACTACCGCGACATTGAGCTCACCCGAACCGGAAGAATATACGTACGAAGGCGCCATTCGCGGTTACGTCTCGAGGGTGGCGCAAAATATACCGAGAAGGTCTTTAACCGGGATCGAGTCCAAGCTAGAGGCGGCCAAGTCGTCGATGAACGGTTCCAAGACGAGCTTGAACGACGACAGCAATAAGTCACCGCTATCGGTGGTAAAAGTGGATATACTCAAAAGACGCGAGGTGTTCGAGAAGGCGTCGCAGAAGAGCAATGACAGTAAAACGAACAACAGGTTATCCGGTGACTTTACTGGCACGAAGTCGATCAAAGAAAGGCTGTCGAGTCTCGAGAGGCAAAAGTACGAGACCGAGAACAGCGACAAAACTACTAACAAGACGCTTAATCGATTGTCCGGCGATATGAGTTCGATTCGGGAGAGGCTCACCCATTTGGAGAAGCAAGCTTCGGAGCGAGAGAACAAGAGTTCCGTTCACCGCAAGCTTAGCACGGAAGATCTGGAGACGGTGAGGCCACTTAGAGAAAGATTATCTACTCTAGAAAAATACAGCAGCAGCGACGAGTCCTCGGTACCGACGAACGAGTCGCGCTCGCGTAACGGCGAGTTAACCACCAGGACGATCAAGGATCGCTTCAGCACATTCAACGACACTGCTAGGAACAAGGACGCGACAGACAAACGTGGACCGGCGCATGTCGGCAAACACCCGCTCTGTTTCCGAGATCAGGAGAACAGAGTTGACACGTCAACGCCTAGCGAGAGAAGTTCGTCGCCGGATTCTGAATACCGTGTACCTCGTGCAGTCTTCCATAGGAGCCTGGATTCCTTGGACGCCGACGCGTCCAGCGGACCTGATACCTTCGAACGTGTGCAGAGCCTCGAAGAGCTCGATTACGGACGGCGATATCCTGCCTCATCATCATCCGCGGAACTTTTGAATGACACGGACCGTGAAGATTCAGGGATCCATACCGCAGATGTGAGCTGTTCGGTCAGCCAGGCGGACGAACCGATCGACGAGGAGATCATGCATCATACTGGTAGTGCAACCGTCGAGCCAAGACGAGAAGTCATTGTCGAGGAGAGGATCAAGCTACTTCCATCATCTACTACTTCCACCATCCAGGAAGACACGTCGTCTAGCATGATGGTTGAAGCATCGAATGATACCACGCCGGCCACTCATTCACAGTTTACCAGTCCCCGGGAGGCAGTAGCGGTGAACAAGGTAAGTTAAATATTATTTTATAGAATTTCAAATATACGAAATAAACTCCGCGAAAGTACCAGCGAAAAATGATCGTTATCTTATAGCAATTTTTTCTTAAACTTTTCAAGTTAACTTGGATCAAATTTCTAACAATTTTTTACATGCTCGAATAAAAGCGCATATATACAATTCCATTACTAACTATAATTTTATCTACATCCCTTAAATATTCACATTTTAAATTCATCATTGTTTTTACCACTTTTTACGCGCTATCTTTCACATTTTTCTTTTCTGGTTATGGGTTAAACGACTACAAATCAGGTTGTAACTCTCTGATTCTGTAGGGTACTGCTGACAGCTCTGGAAAACTATCGACTAACAAATCACAGCCGCACGTAGAGATCACTATTAATTCTAATACATCTCGCTCATATACCTCGGTGTCTCGCGCGGCCACTCATCTGAGTTCCACGGTACCACCGCGAGAAAAAACTTCCGAAAGCTTCTCGAAATTGCGGACATTCGGGAAAGACGCGGCCGAGCTCAAGACAGATTCCGAACCGAGTTTGAACGAGTCCATAGTATCGGCTAGTCTGAAACTTTCCATCGAGCAAGCGAGACCGAAATTCGTTGGCCAAATAAAGCGGCAGAACCTCGTCAAGGAACACTCCTCCAACACTCTTCCGCCGTCCTCGGATATCATTCTTAGCGCAGAAACTTATCAATTATCCTTCCCCGCTGTCAGAACGACGACGATTCCAGTCGGTCCCTCCCTCGAAGCCAATCCTGCGCTTTCTAAACCCACGTCCTCCCGAACGATATCCAAGATTCCCACCCCGCTTTCTCGCAAAATTGTCAAGTCTTCACCTCCCGACTCTGTCTTGACCTCGTCCGCTTCCAAAGCTCGTCGCCTTCGAAGTCCAACACGAGTAACAAGTCCTCGACGAGTCAGATTTTCAGCCCGATTCGAAGAATATCTGAAACGGCGCTTCCTATTTGCTCGACCGTCGTCGAATCCTCTTCCTCGCCGACGTCCACGCAATCGGACCTAACGGAGCAACTCGTGCTTCCTTCCTCCCCTTCGAGACTCAGCTCAGGAAACGCGCGACGCCACGAGGAGACGCTACTACCTGCGGACCGACGTCGAACCGTGGTGGAAGTGTGCGAAAAGGTGATGGTACCTCAGGGCAAGACTTCTACGACGCCGTCGGTGACGCCGTTCATCACGGTGAACCGGCCCATAAACGCGGACAAGCAGGGTTCTGTGACCGAGGTTAGAAACGATCAGCAAGCCGGCAACGCCTCGAAAAAGTCTTAAAGTGCGAGGATTCTTTTTTTCGCAATAACGTACTGTCCTCCGCTTTTTCGATCAGCCTCTAGACAAGCCGTGCTAGATCCTGTACATAGATTGCATCTCGGGGAAAAGGGGGCTATGCGGACTCGTAGAGTGCGAGAAACGTCGAGCGTGTGACATGTTGAGAGAATGAGGAGGATGCCAGGAGCAATTCTTACGGTTTAACCGATGAGTCGAACGTTTTAAAAACGTTTACGTTTTTACGAGAGTCATCCGGTCTCGCGAGTTCTGCCGCTAGTTCGTCGAATCCTTCGAGAGGAGGATTATTATAATAATTATTATTATCCAGAAAGGAATTAGCATAACGCACACGGGGGTCATTATCGCGTCTACGTTATTACGCATCGCGCGAGCGCAAAATTAAACTTAAACTATACCGTCAGTTAGTCGTGTAAATAAGCGCGAAGCAGGTGCGAAAGAAGGTATAAGATAATCTCCGGTATTATATAGAGTTAAATCGGGTTATATATACAAAAGCGCTACACATCGTAACGGTTACTCTATATACATTATAACGGCATAATGATTTGCAATAAAGTTTATGTTATGCGGTATGTCTGCGGCGTAACAGCAGGTGTTTATAAGTGCTGTTGGATATTGCATATGCCGTTTAAAGAAAATATCGACGACCGATTTCGGCAACGTCGATCGCGACTTTAATCGCACTTTAATTGATAACTTTCTCAAATTATGGCACATTAATCGTATAATGTGGGAAAGTTGAATTACGATTAAAAAAAAAAAATAAACCGCGAGCACTTTTTAAATTAAGATTAAAATCGATTGCTGAAATCGATCGTACGAGAGAATAAGCCATTGTGATAACATTCAATCTTAATTACCGAATGCGATCGATCGTAATAAGAATATATGCAATTAGAATTATCAATTGCGCGAGAAATTATAGAAACGATATCGCGATGCGTTCTCCAAGCAAATGCAAGAAATGTATAAGACTTGCTTCACTTGTAACGGTCTTTTGTAACGTTACTTTAAAAGAATTCGCCGACACTTGACGCGCGATTATGATTAATTGTCATGGATTGTATAGCGGTCGACCGCGAAAGAGAACGAGCAACGATGAAATACATAAGATACAAAACACTAGCCAACGAAATTTGCCGTCTTGTATTTTCTTCTCACACTCATGTGGATTTTATTCAATTAAAAATCTTATTTTGCTTTAGTATAAAAATATTTTTTTTTTCGATATTAATCACTTAAAAATTAATTCCGAATTAATTAATGATGTGCCTACTAATTTCAATTTCCATTTATATTTATATTTCCTAATTTAAAGAATCACGAATTGAATTGTTTAGCGTGAAATTCACTCGGAGATTATTTGTCAATGCAAAAACTTAGCACAGTTTATCTCCAGGTTAATAGGGTACACAAATATGCGCTTTTAATAACAGTCACGTTCAAAGTACGATAGATATGATCATTCCCAACACGCGCGAAGTCATAGGTCAATCGCAATGACATTTAATTATGAATAAAGAGTTCTTGCTGACGTGCCGTGATAAAAGCACCCATGTCAGAGTCAACGATATTTCCATCAACGATTGTTACTCGTTCGTCGGCGCGCGAGCCTCGCGATCGTTTTCTTTCCACGTGTCTCGTCCTCGATACACTGAAGAGGTAAGACGTCATATATTTTTGATTGCATCGAACAAGCAGCGATTTGCCTGAGCTGTGTGTTAGCCCCGAAGAATACCGTGTCGGCGAACGGCTTTCTTTTTTAGTAGAACCCAGAACGAATCGCACAAATTTCACGAGACACGCATGGCTGTACGGTAGCTTTTTCGAATCCAGGGTCTATCTTCGGAGAAATATCTAATTTTCTATTTTATCTACTATTTTAATAATAAACAAAACAAATTTAATATTTATATAATATTTAAAGAATATTTAATATATTATTTATCTATTTTCAAGAAATTGTCTATTACAAAGAAAATTAATTTTGTTTGATAATTTAAAATAAAAATGAAAATAACAAAGTCATAGTGAGATTGAAGAGTGCTCGTTTCGCTTATCTTCATTATCATTTATCGCGAATCCTATAGACACGTGCTTGATTCTTCGTTATAAAGGCGTAAGATAAACCCTGGTCGAATCGCTTCCTTATCAATTTCATTTAAAGTCAAATTATCATATTTGATTGACAAATTACGTATTACGTCACACCCGCACTCCATTGGAAAATTCGAGCCTAGCGATAGCGGGGGCTAAGTATCTCTCTTATCTCGACCGCCGAAAGACCTTATCGCGTCATGTGCTCGCAACGCCTTTAATCAGTCCGACAACACCTGAGATCACGGTGATCTAGTGGCTGTACGATTTTCGAGGCGTGTGCTGCACGATATTTCGCTTGCAACTTGAGAAAGTGAACGTAGTTTTCTCTTTCCCCCGCGTGTATTCTCGTCCCTGCATGCAATTTGCGAGTATGACTCGTGAGGTAAAGGGTACTACTTAACCGGGTGTATATTGGTGAAGTGCGATTTTTAATTTGTAGTATATTTGAAGTGTACGTGAGTTCGCGTGATCGTTGCTTTGATCGATATACTTGTAGTCTTTTCTTGACGGGCTAACAATAAGAACGCTTACGTGTATCTGCTTTTAGAAAAAAATTCAGAGTAAGCTATTAGCTAAGTGATATGTTATCTTTATATAGAACAGCAATTTTTTCTTAAGAAAAGATCTTGAGAAATAGAGTGGAAATGAGGCAAGAGATGTAGAAAATTGAAAAAAATTTTTTTAATGTACAAGCTTATAAAATATATCAATTTTAAACTAGTAAATTAATATTTAATGCATTTTAACAACTGATTAAATAATTCCATTATTTATTTATAATATTTATTTCTATCTTTGAGGCTTTATTGGCAAAAATTCATTCTTTCTTTCAGTTGCTTATAACTTTTGAATTTTATTGCTGCTTCTTTTATTATAAAAAAAAATTACAATGCATGCAAGTTTTGAGAATTGACAAATTTTTATCCAACAATATCTTATCCAATCACTCATTAATTACCGTCCACGTATTCAGTATATTAATTTGTAGAATTTATATTAACATATTCTGTAAATTATTTATCAACGCCCAATGTCATCCACATATTTTGCAACGTATCGTATTTATTAGTTAATGAATAATGTGCAGTAATATTTTTTTCGATAATTGCTTTAAAAATCTGTTATAAAAGAATTGCATTATGTACTGCTTCTATACGTAGCAAATATAGAGATCGTGAATTCATTGTTATTCGGATCATTATTCAAAATCAGTGTATCTCAAGTCCACATTTAACCACGTTTAATATTGCTCGTATATCTCCTTTGTAAAGGCGTGTCAAATCGCTAGAGAAAAGCACACATAATTGCAGGGATCCGCGAGATCCATTGGACGTGTAACATTACGCAATGCGCATCGACCTGGTAAAATGCACCCGCATATTCCCACGACAAGAATTGCACATCCAGTGTGCGCGAAACCTTTTTCCCAACATTTTTCGTGCAATTTCTACTTCTGAGAAGAGACGTTTGGGACAATACTTTCGTGACGTTCAAGTAGACGCATTATATTATGTCACTTAATGACAATTACTTCATTAAATTCGCGAATTATGAATGTATAATCCTCAAGAATTTTAGAAGAAACTTTTTTTAAATAATATTTATAGTTTTTTTAATCACTACTTTGATACAATATTATGAAACATATTTTGACATTTCTTAGATATTTAGATTAATTAGGATGATTGCGAAACTAAAATGCAATATTTTTCAATGACATAATTTAATATCGCCATTCGAATATCACGTTTATTTCCGTGTCATGATTGATGATTCTAATTTAGTGTAAAATATATTCCTGAAACATTAATCAGAGATAGTGTCAAGAAATATGTTCTCAAGCGCTCTAAAGCGCAGTCAGAATACTGTGATGGATGAGATCTGTCTTTCAATCGAAATTTATTCGCGTACAATTTTCGTGGATTTTTTTAGAAACACTGTTCCGAATGATCCGTCGATTTACATAGAATGTAACGTTGCAAAATTCGTGTGGCACACGGTGCGAGACCGACTCGCATTTTACGTACAATTCTCGGCTACATTACGTTTCCTCTCCTCAGGAACGGATCGTTCTCGAGAAAACGGACCAAGAGGAGGCAGCTACCGTTGCGAATCTCCCGGTAGCTTCAGTAGTCAAACACGAGCAGCACGAAACGACGGAGATTACGACGAGTGTCGAAATGCCTGTCACCACCGACTCTATCGTCACTATGAAAAATGTGTCGATACTGATATGCACGATATATCTGCTACTACAATTGTCACGCCGACAGCCGATCATCCGTTGGAGCGACCAGCGAATCTGGGTTTAGTCAAACAAGAAGCTAATTTGATCGACGCGTTGAGTACCCCGACCCAGCTTCACCGATTTCCAAACAAGTTAGTAGATCGTCACTCAAGTTTTTTTTTTTTTTTTTTTTTTTTTCAATAAAAGGAGAAAGTGATAAAGTAAAATTATATTAATTTCAATCTTGTTTGTATACGATAACATATAAGATTTTATAAGATATAGAGTGATATTCATAATATAAACATTTTAGTTTATGTATTAATTAATCTGGTATATTTACAGATAGTGCTACTTACTCTATCTAATGACGAGGAGATAATTGATCAACCTTTTCTTCTGAGTCCACCAACGAGTGTGGAGCCACCAAAAGAAAAACCACCGCCACCTCCGGTAGAGGCTAGCGATGATGAGAATCCTCCTCCAGAGCCGCTCAAAAGATTAAACTCTACTCGCAGAATAAAGAAAGAGTTGCGTACAAGACGATCGGATTTTCTCGGTATTGAAGGGGTAAGTGCGAAAATAAAAATCTGCTAGTCTATCTTGAAAATCTTGATTTAAAAAGAAATCAATATAATGTATCTAACAAACTACAGATCAAAATTTTTAATATATATCTCTTTCCTTTTTTCATCTTTATGTTTTCAGTTTGTAATTTTTATGAATCTTATGTCTTTTTATAAAAGAAATATTTGAAGATATACATTGTACGTTTTGTTAATAGCAGGTCAACGACGATGATCTCGAGTCTGAGTTAACGTTGACGAAACCACCTGACATGGCAGCGATTCTCGCTGAAGAGAGACGCATCGAACAACTTCATCGTCGCTCCTACGATACTGACAGTAACTATGAACAAGATTCGAGTCACGAGAGAGATTCTGGAGTCGAACTGGGCCACGTCGAGGATTGGGCGAAGCAGCCCGTCAGCCCCGACATGTCACAGCACAGCAGACAGAGCAGCGAGCCTTTCGGCGCCAGTGTGACCTCCTCCGAAGAGGATGAGATCACGAAAAAAGAGCGAGAGATCATGGAGGTTCTCGAGAAAGAGGAACAGTGGCGATACGGCGATAATCGCGAGTATAATAGGTACAAATAATTCATCGAAATTTTTCCCCTATTAATTATTTCAAGTATGAGAGTCCAAAAAGTGTCAATCAAAAAGATATTGAATTTTGTTCAATATTTTCAAATATTTTCTGGTCTTCTTTATTTTTTGTTAAAAAAATATTGCGAATTGAGTCTAAATATGTCGTTACATCATTACAGTGACTTAGGGGAAAGGCTGGCTCACAAGTTGCGTGAACTCGAGGAAGAAAAGATGCAGCTGGAGAGAGAGGCGATACTGCGCTGCAACGAGGACGCGTTTCGCAAGAAGGACGACAACGCACGCAAGCAGGAAGATACTTCCTCGCATGAGCAACACGATGAGACAGCGAAACAGCGGGAGACCCAGGCGCGAACGGAGGAGAAGGAGGAAGTAAAGTACGTTGGGGACAAGCGAAAGGACGGAGAGCTTAAGATGCAGTCGGAACAGTTGAGAATGCAGAACGAGATCGAAGAGAAAGAACGAAGAGTCGCCGATGCGTGTCGCAAGGAGGAATTGCGCATCCGAACGATGGAAAGTCAAATTCGCGAACAAGAGGTAAGGCCAATTATTCGGCTTTTTCTTTTCGTCGGGATAACGCTAGCGAGGAAATAAAAAGCCAATGTTAAAAAGTAGATAGCGAATTTAGAACGAGGTCTCTACTATCTTCCGAATATGTTCTTTCCTGTGACATTTTTCTGTCAATTTTTTCGTTTGCAAGAAACTTGAAAACTATGCACATATTTCCTTTAGTATGAGGCACGCATTTTTAACCGATAGCTTGAAAATGTTATTATCACATATCCTTCGAACAATGTTATCTTCAATTCGATACTTTTTTATTTGTAAAATCTTTAATTTAAAAAATCACATTCCTTTTTGCAACATTGCCCGAAGGATTCGATTGTTGAATAGTAGACGGTGCAAATTAAATATATAGCGTAGTGTAAATATTGATAGAGGGATTATTGCTAATTATTCGCAGAACAAAGCATTGGTCGGTGCTGGGTTGTGCAACAACGAAGATGAATTCCCTTCCGGGGTAAGGCAATAATTGTAATTTTTTAATCGCTTGTTTGCACTGAACTTTTACTTAAATATTATTCATTTTATATTCATTAAAAATTCTATTTATCTCTCATTACTATCACTATTTTAAATATCTTTCGGGCATCTTGACTAATCTGAGGCTAGCTTAATTTGATCTTCTCATTTGCATTACAATATGTTATACAAATAGATTAATCATTATATGTCAAGATAATTTTTATTAAAAACTATTTTGTTTTATTATTATATTTATTGAGTTATACATATATGCATATATTCAATAACTTAAAATCGAAAGTGACAAGTCAGAATTTTAAAAATATTTCTATATATTTAAATTTTTATTATTTGTAATAATTGCTTCAATTAAAAAAGGACTAGAAACAAACACAGTTCAAAATATTTATGCCTAATAATATGTTAGATAAATAGAGATGTGTGGCAAATATAATAGAAAAATATTTATTTCTTTAGGAAGTGCTACGAGTAGAAAGGGAGCTTTTGCAATTGGAGCAAGAAGAATTAAAGAGACAGCGCAATAATTTGGCTTATCGTGAGCAAAAACAACTTAGATTGGCGGAACAGTTACAGGAGCAGTGGCAATCCTTGCAAGACGTTGCACAAAATTCTGTTAAGAATACACAACAATACAAGTATCACACGCCTACCGTGAATTACAGATCTTCGATGCCAAATTTACAGTCATTTCAAGAGCCAAGAAGAAGACCACCGCCACCACCGATTCCATTTACTAAACCACGTATATTAGATCAAAGACAAAGAGACGTTACTATCAGGTCAATACAAATATTATACAGATACTTTTGCGTTACTCTAAGATTCCCCACATGAAGTAAGATAATCGAAATTGATTTTTTCATTTAATCGCAAATTTACAGAAACAGCCGTATACCGTCTGCGGACTCGATCCCCCAACAAGTAGATGCATCGATTCGAGAGAACGCATCGGCGACGACACTTGCGAGTCACGCTGGTCAGCAAATGTCCAGGCAAACCTTACAGGCGTTAAGCGCAGTACCGCGATCACGAATTGTCCAAGGTGATCAATGGGTTCAACGGAGAAAAAGTGACGTACCGAGAGGCGCTCACGATGTAAACTACCAACATTGGCTCATTCAAGTGCGTATTAAAATTATCTTAATTAAACTAGCAAATAGACAAACATTAATTCTTTTATATAACTCCGTATTTCACTTTCCAATAATTTTCAGATAATTGATTAATCATTCGTTTTGTTTTTTGAAGACTCATTTCTTTAAATTTCAATTTTTAAACACGATTAGCTAATTTTTTTATATTAAATTTCTGATAAAATTAAATGCATATAGAGTATAGCGTATAAAATGAGATGCAAATGTGTATAAATGATTAATTATTTACTATTTCTAACTGTACACTTCCTCTGACAGGAGGCAGAACAAAGGAGGATTAATGAGAGAAATCAACGATCGCCAGCGCGGAAATCTCAACCGCATATAACTGGCACCTCCGTACCATATAATAATGCTCCAGCTCGAACAGATAGCAAACCGCTACCCGATTCTATCATACAAACTCTAACGCAAAGAGTACAAAATAAAACACAAGAGAAACCTCTTTTAACAAGAAGAAGGTAAACATTTTACTATTCTTTAATAAAATACTATTTTTTATTATTAAAATGTGTAGTATTTTTCATTAAAAATTATAATTCTTTATTATTTATTACTCTTTTTTTTTATTAAAATTATATTTACTAAATATTAATTATTTATTATTAAATAAATTATTCAATTACTTAATAATTAAATAATTGTATTATATAAATAAATATTTATTAAATATAAATTATATTTATTATATATAAATTAATATATATTATTATAATTCTTTATTTTATTAAATATAATATTTTTTAATAATAAAGAATAAGATTCTAATTTATGATTTATGACATATTTTCTTTTCAAAATCTTAGCTATTTCTTGTGTTTTTATGAGAGTTTTTCTTTATCTTTTCAGATCAGAGCAAGTTCAAGAACACTTAAACACTGTGCAACATCAACCACCACAATACGCATTACAATCTCAAAAAACACAACATACTCCAATCACGAGTAACAATGGAAATCAAGAAAAAATGCTAAGTGTGAGTGGAAAGAAAAAATGTTCTCACTGCGGAGAGGAATTAGGTAATCAAATTGGAAACTTTTCGAACGTTCTTTCACCTTTATATGTATATACATTTGTTAAAATGATATTCTTAATGATACCTAGGTCGTGGTGCTGCAATGATAATCGAAAGTCTACGATTGTTTTATCATATGGAGTGCTTCAAATGTTGCGTATGTCACGTACGTCTCGGCGATGGATTAATGGGTACAGATGTGCGTGTCCGAAATCACAAGCTCCACTGCCATAATTGCTACTCCAGTGACGATGGTACATATATTTAACTCTCTTTAAATATTGTATTACGTATAATATACGTAATATTGATTGAGCGTCTATTGATTTCGAGAACGGTATGATAAAATGCATTTTTTTACTTGAAAAAAATAATTAAAGAACGTCTTACAAAATTATATTTTTAATAATTTCAAATGTATACTTATCAATATGAAAGTTTTATGTAGTTATAAAAACGTAAAAGCCAATTAATTATTAACGTGATTGTGAAAGTGTAAATATGCATCTCGGAAAGATATGTTCACTTTACAATTTATATTGCTATTAAATTTTCAGGTGTCAAGTTCAGTTGTGTGTAGAAGCCTGGTGGTTAACGAAAAAATGCCGATTATTCGATTGTAATGCTTTTCAGTTAAATCGTATGATTTTTGAAACCTCAACCCAGTTCAAGTTACCCTTGCTTAAAAATATCATTGGAAACAAACGACATGCATATAAATAAATGTGCATAAATGTAATGTTGACAACTGAGATAAAAGAATGATACCATTGTGTCCGCCGATTAGATATGTATACATTTATATATATATATATATAATCTAATGTGTTTTTATTTCAAAATATTGAGTTATACTATCTATGCAACTGTTTCTATCAACTAACATAAATCATACGTGAAGGATGTATATAAGATGTATTTATGTAATTAGTATAAAAGTAAGAAATAGTTATTAAGGTTCAGTGTAATTGGCGTTGATTTAGCAACGCTGTATATTTTTGTAATATATAATTCTCGTATTGTTTATTTATACCAGATAATTTACACCGTATATTCGAATAACAGAATGCGTGAGTGTTTTCTTAATTGGAAGTGAAATAATACGAAATCGAGCTTCTGCTGATAATCAAATCTAATTGATTTTATGGATTCAACAATTAATCATTACAAACAGTGGCATGCGGATCTATTTATTATTACATTAACATCACAATTCAAGCTTAAAATATTCTGATAGTCAAAAATAATATTAATTTTTCTGTGTGTCTACTTATACTTTTTTAAACATGGTTTTTCTTCTATAAATCTCTTATACTATATAATATTGTTAAAATATTGAATATTATATATATATAATTTATAAAACTAAACTTTTTTATAAGAAGCTTCCCGCAAAAATATCAACTTGAGGGTATCAATTGTGTAACTTTTACTAAAGTGAAAACGTGAAAAATGAAAAATTTCCGCCAATCACACAATGATTTTAAAATGAAATCGATGTGTAATTGGAAGAAATTTTTCACTTTTTACGTTTTTATTATAAAAAGTTACACAATCGATACCCAGGTCAATCGTGAAAAATCTGCCACTGTTCACAAATCAAAGCACGATTCGTATAAATACTTTCGTATGAGACAATCTACTCTCGATGTGATGGCGCGTTTAAGCAACACAACTTAATCGTTTCCTGCAAGCGTACCCATAATCGTGCCGAAGACGTGTTGCATTGTGAAATATTGTAACATATTCAAGTATTAACGCAATTTTATATTATTGAACAAAATAATGAAGCACAGATAAAATTATATATTTTCTCTTTCTTCGGAGATTTTCACAAAATTATGACCCAAAATTTTAAACAAAAATTCATGAGACTCACCGACACGATGCGGAACAGCGGAGTTGTAAACTGTAAAATATATAAATACAATTATAATAAATTTAACAAATTTTAACAATTATAAATTATAAATACAATTATATTTTGAAAAATAAAATTATTATTTGCATTAAATGAAATATATAGTAATAATAAATAATAAATAAATTTCTCACCATGTAGTTGATCGGACATTGCCCGATGCCACCCCGTGCCTCCTCCTCCTCTCGTAGAAGCTTCGAAACACTTGCACTCGCGTCACTTTTTTTTCGTTCGCGACGCTCGGGTTTTAATGATCATGTTTTCGACGCGTTTTCGGTAAAACGCGAGAATCGCGAGAGCTTATTCGCGCGCGAACAAAACCGATGCTCCGTTTTCGCGTCGCCGCCTCAAGGTCACTCATCGGCGAGGACCCCATCGAACGACGACGGTGACTTCCCCGCGACGCACTCAGAAGTCGCCGATATTTCGAAATTGGGCACTACGTTTTTTATACTTCACCGAATATTCAACGACGAAGAAATCGCGGAGATTTAGAGGGTGGCGTACGACATTGATAATTGATTATTACATATATCAATATGGCGACGGGACCATTATCGAAATCGATCTACGATGATCTACGATTTTTGCGACAATTACGAACTTCATTCGCCGCGAAATGATATTTCGACACGATGACCCGAAAGTTTGACCGAAACGCGTAATCGCCCGTTCAGAATGCGATCGACGACGCCGAAAAACTGGAAAATTTTCGCATCAAAAGGCGCCCGGTAATCGTCGCGATGCACCCTCGTAAACTTGCGCGCGCGAACTTTTGGCGGTTTCGAGCTGTGACGTCACGCCGAGAATGTGAAGGAAGCGAAGATTTGCGGCTGACGAAGTCAATCTTGCGCGCGAGGTCGCGATTATGAAGTCGATACGTGCGGCGCGATTAGATTTACACGATAATTAACGATTTAGCATTACTACTTACAATTAATTAATATATTCACACTCACATTTTTCGCGAACCGACAAGCGGACCAGAGAGCATCAGAGAGCAGACTGAAGCGCTCGACTGTCGGCTAAATTCTGAACTTTGACAGACGGATTTTTAAGTTACTATTCTTCTCTCTCTCTGATTGGTCAAACACACCTGTCCAGGAAAAAAACCCTAAACAGCGATCGCTGTGATTGGTCGATTTGGATGTGTTATTAGTTTCGATCAGACGTTTCGCATTTAGATATTCATGAATCGTGACTGTTCGTAAATGTGGAGAGAAATTGCGCGAATAGATTTTATTGAAAATAATATTAAAATTATTCTTGAAATTTGTATTGCTTTTATAAATTTTTGTACGCAGTATTATGCAAGATATAAGTATTTCAGTGAAATTCGATGCGAGTATGTTGCTTTAAGAATATGTATGTTAAAGTTTAGCATTAATTTGAATGAAATATATTGAATGATCAGTATCACTATTTTTAGGTTAATACTTGTTAATCTTGTTCTTTTAATATTTCTGTCGTTTCTGAGAGAAAATACTTTTACTTAAAAATTACAATTAATTATTTCCGAAAAACTTACATTTTCTATTAAGAATACTTCTATAACATCTCTCTTTTGCAAGGCTTTTAGCAAAACATGTCACATGTTTCGATTCCTCGTGCAGTTGGCGTGTGATTATTATTACATTAACATTTTATAATATTAATGCGTTATTATTCTTTGAACAATGATTTTAATTATAATTTTGTGTTCTCAAAAATACGCCTTAAATAATAAATTTTGCCCAAATTAATGAACTCTGTTGTGCACATATTTAATTTAATTAAATAATTTTTTATTATTTTAGGTATAAAATAAAGTATCATGCATTCTGACGAGGCTATTGGTTGGATTGTTCAAGACAATTATGTTCAAGACAGGATGACTGACAATTCTTTGATACATAAATTTACACCATTGGCAAAAATACGAAGAAGGACAAAAATACTCAACAGCAAAATAAAAAAATATTCTGGTGTGAAAGATTACAAGCACTATATAGAATTAAAGACTGATGTTATACGACGTGTGGTAGAGGATACTGATAGTGATTACTCTGACTGTCTATCCGACACTGATTATGATATCATATACAACTCTTTAACACAGACTAAAAGCTCAGTTAATAATTCTGAAGGATATACTTTCACTGAAGATGATTGCAAAGGCCTTAAAAAGAAGAACAATATCAAGCGTAAGCAAAAGAATAATATAAACAATATAAAAGCAAACAACAAAGAAACCTTACCAAAGAAGAAACTATTGCAAACAAAATGCAATACTAGAGCATCTAAAAAACATATAGACTGGCAAGAAATCACAAAGAAAAATAAAATATCACACTTGTCTAACAATCGAACATGCACAGATATTGAGGAAAACAGTGTTAAGAATAATAAGTCTGATTATTTACTGACTCAATCTAATAATCAATCTCTTTCTGCGCCATTTGATTCTCAAAATAGTACAACATCTAATATAGTAAAATCTGATAATGAAAATATGAGAGAAAGTTGCATAGATTCCAACATAATGATAAATGACTCAAATTTTCAAGATACAATATTTAATGAAATAAAACTTAGTGGAAGTGAGATACAAGATTATAAAGAGCAAAGTGCAGTGATAGACAAATCAAATACTAAATTAGATTCACAAAATCCATTAGATTCTTTATCAAAAAATTTGGTTTCTTCATCTAAATCGATCAGTTTAGATAGTATTGAAGTCTCTGATAATGAAATAAGTACTGTTAATAAATTGAAAAATAATAATAGCAATAAATTAAAAGTAGAAGTAAATAACAAAAAGTTGATAAACTCAAAAAATAATAGCAACACATATGAAAGTCACAAATCTAAATTATTAAAAAATATTAGAAGGAACTTAACACCTGTACTAGAAGAAGCTGATTTGATGAATAATGATAAAGATGTTGAGAGGAATAAAAACGAAGAAAATGAATTAAATAATCAATTACTTGTATCTACCACAGGTTGTACTCGACATAGTACTCTAATAAAAAAAATACGATCCAATTTATCACCAGACCAACAAAAAGATTCTGGATTTGAAGACTCACAGGATAGATTTATCAAGATTGGACAAAATGATATAAAAAGTTCAAAAAATTTAAATATTATAGAGAAAATACATCTTTCTTCTCAACAATTTGAGAAGATTGCTGAAGTTGAAATAATAGCTTTGGAAAATTCTAAAGAGGATTCAAATAATGACATTTTAGAGAAACAAGACAATAAAGAAAAAAAGGAGTTTTCTACAAAAGAAGTTGAAGAAGAAGACGTTGAAGAAGAAGAAGAAGATGTTGAAGAAGAAGAAGACGTTGAAGAAGAAGAAGAAGAAGAAGATGTTGAAGAAGAAGAAGAAGAAGATGTTGAAGAAGAAGAAGAAGTAGTAGTAGAAGAAAAAGAAGAAGATAAGAATTCTTCCCAATTGAATCCAATTAATGAAGACATTATACAAAAAGTTTATTTAACAAATCAGAAAGATAAAACGAAATTTGTGCAAGCAGAAGAAAATATTGAAAAGCAACAATCATTACCTCTAAAGGAAAATTATGCAGAGGATACACATTCAAAATCTTGTGATAATTATTTAAAAGAACAAGAAAATATTAAAGAAGAGGAGACCTCTGAAAGAAAAGTAACACATTCTCTTCGATTAAATGAGGCTGATAAGGATACAGAGATTTATTCAATTAATTGTCAAGATGAGATGCATTCCATGAAATTACCAGACTTGTGTAGTATAGAAAAGCAACAAATATTACCTAAAATTACCTGTACCGAAATTGTCAACAAAAAATATACGATAATAAGGAAAGGAAGATAATATTAGGAAAGGAAATAAGGAAGATATATTAGTATTGAAAAAAATGAAAATATTAATTCTAAAGAAGAAATATTGAAAGCAGAAGAAATTGACAACAATATATCATTAGAAACTGACAATGAAGAGGATAATGCAAATTATATATTGCCTGAAACTAAAAAGCGACTTCAACAGCAAGCGAGATTAAACTTAGTTGTGAGTAGTGATTCTAATTCAAGCGATGACGAATATATAACTGGTAAAACATCAAGAAAGCACAATGGTGATTCTGATACAAGTTGTTTTAGTAAAGATATGTTTGAGAATGATGAAACTAATTGCGAAAAAACCAACATAGATATTTCATATAGCAAAGACAGCAGCAATGAAGGGATGCCAAATCCTATAGAAGAAAAAGTAAAAATAGATTCATCAAATATAAAAAAAGAAATAAGCAAGCAAGCTGATAAAACTGTATTATCAACAAGCTGTACATATGAAAATAATAACTCAGCTACATCTGATGCAAACCAAAATTCATTAAAGGAAATACAATATTGTACAGATGTATGTAACTATGAAAATAATCAGAATGAAAGTGTAGATGATGTTGAAAGTTTTCAATTGAGAATTTCTGAAAATATTTCGTCCATTAGTGAAGAATCTAAAAATCAATCTTCAACAAATGTATCATCCTTAAATAAAAAGAACTTTTGTGATCAAAGTATTCAAGATGAAGACAGGATGAGCGATTGTATCAGCGAATTGGGAACTAGATGTAAATCTAGAGATGAACAAAACACACAAGTATCAACAAAACGTTCAAGTGCGCATCTTGATATTTCCTGCTATTCTAGACCATACAATGTAAGTGCTCTTTCTCTTTCGATTCTCTTTCTTAAATGATTATTATTTAATCATTATTTTTTCAGTTACAGCAATTAATCGAGGACGAAAATTTGCTTCTAGAAACGATACAGCAAGTTTTACACTGCCGGATCTTACTGAAAATGATGAAGCTTTTATTTTGAATATTCCAAATAAGGTAAATAATTATTCATTAAAATCAATGTACATATATTCTCTTAAGATATGGAAATACTAGTGTTTTAGCAAATACTACAAGCATTCTCATCAATGCAGTTAGCATCTTCAATTTTAATATTAATTTCTTACCAATATAAGAAAAGTAAATTCGAATAATTAGGACAAGAACTTTATCAATTAATATTTAATTATATGGAATACATCTAAATTTGTTTTCTAATAATAGAAGCGCTAAGTTATAGAAAAATAAAGTCTTGAAACATTTTTTTGATTAATCAAAGCTAATTCATGGAAATTATTCCATAGGTCTTACAGTGCAACCTGCAGGGTCAATTGCTATCATTAAAAGAAGACACGATAAAATTCGGAAAAAGTAAATATAGAATCGTGCGTAGAAAAGTGGGTACTGTATCTTGCATTTTTGCTACTGGTAAAAAACGGAAACCTTATAAAACAGGTGAATAGATTTTTAGGATGAAAATATAACGTCTTGTGTATATTTAAAAGTAACAATTTTTTTAAATAATAAAATAGAATATACTATTAAAAACTCAATTATTTTTGCATATTTTTATAGAATGAGAAATTCTTATAATTGATTTTATTTTCTAGTAAATATTAAAAATATCAGCACTATTACTGTACGAGAAAGATTGCCACCATGTTCGAGAAAATCAGATGTATTAAATTCTAATACTGTCATTTCTTCCGAATCGAAATCGTCAAAAATAAATAATCGACAAACGAAAGAAACAGAAATGTTAAAAGTTGATCGCAACAAGCGCAAACGAAGACATTCAGGTAAATCAATTATTGCTAATTATTATAGATAATTTCTTAAAATCTTAATTTGTATACAAATATCAATAATCAAATATATATATATATATAGTAAAATATAAACATATACTTTATAGAGGTAACATATATTTTATTTAATATATTACTTTCATATTCAAAATTTTCTCGAAAATTATATTAATAAAAAATTAATTTTTCTTATCAAGTTGATATAAATGTCTATACATTTTTTCAGGTTTTGAAACTGAACAATCTGCGACTAAGATAGGACGATTAAAATTGATTCATTCCTAAAAAAAATTAAAGAATATTTTTAAGGATAGGAACTTAAATAACAAACAATTTTATTATAATACGAAAAAATATTTTGTGTATGAATATTCAATATCTGAATAGAATATAGAATATCAAGATATTAAAATAAGGAAGTAAAAATGTTTATAATACTGATAATATATTGCTATCATTTTATCAATACATGATTCTTTTTCAGTTCCAATAATATATGTATACATTTCTTCTATATTCAGTTATTAATCAATCATATATGACATTTAATGTGCAATATGTCTATATATTTTTTGTGTTTAATATTTTAATATAACCTGACATTTTAATCTAATATTGACATTATTTAATATATGATATATAAAATATAGCATACAAACTTTATATAATATGACATGTACATAAAATGAAAATAGATTTAAATACAAAGATTTCCTTATATAAACTACTACAATATTAGAGATAAGACTCGAGATAAGATTTATATATATACAAACACTTATGTCCTTGTATGTACAAGATTTATCAAAATATAAAACACTAAAATATCGTAAATTATGGATCCTATATAATTCTAAAATAATTATAATATATAAAATAGAAGAACGGATTCTATATAATTATATTCTACTAATTAGAAGATTCTAATAATTTTTTGTGTAATTTCAGGAATGAATATATTTAAAATTCCTTTGCTACAAGCTTTCTTTGTAGATATTTAAATATCTTCCAAATGTTTATATTATCTATTGCCTGATGTCTATTAAAGAGTATAAAAGAATACAGAAGAAAAAATATTGATTTTTTTCAAGATATATTTTATTTAATAAATTTACACTCAATTTTATATTAAATTATGCTCATTTATGCATATTTTCCAATTTTGTAACTTGTAACATATTAGCAAGTTTTACAAATATAAATTTAAGTAATTAATTTTCGATGATAAACATTACATTTTTATTTGTAATAATTTTTTAAAGTAATTTTTATTTTTAGACATTCAAAACGACAGTCAAACAAGATATATTAAATTTCGTAGAATAGGGAAATTTTCATTATGTGAATTTCATCTATAAATCATGTTTTCATTATGTGAATTTAATCTACAAAATCTCTCGATGATATAATCCAACAATTCATTTTCAAGAATAATCGTTATGTATTTTACATATGTTATGATTTATATACCAATATAAATTATATATAAATTCAGTGAACTAGAGATATAAATGTTATTATGCAATTGATTTATTTAGAATAATTAAAACGTGCGTAAATTAATTTTTTAATCAATAGAAATTAATAAAAAGATTATGCATTACACAAGTTCATCTAATTCGTATTAAAATTATCTTACTATATTTATTATTTAATTATAATTTAGAAGAGCTTATACCCTTTCTAGGAAATTCCTTAAATGGTTTTGATAGAGGATATAAAGATTGACTAATTTTAAAAGATAAAATATCATCAATTTTCTTAACTTCTTGATTGGCTGGTATATCAGTAACTTTTTCAATTTTAATATTTGAATCGGATATACTTTCTTCCGTTGATGTATTATCTGTTGCTGTAGATATAATATGCACTGACAATTTGTGTCGTGCTTCACTAAATATAATGTCCTAAAAGATTATAAAATATAATTAATTTTTCAATACTTCAACCTTTTTCTACCATATTCTCTTTCTATAAAATGAGATAAAGTATAATACAAAATGTAATACCTTATAAAAATTAACTATTTGCTGCTGCGTTATAGTCTTTAAATAAGCTACTTCGATATTTGCTCGATCAAAGTTGTATTGCTGGCTTGAAATCTCATTCCAGAATATAGCACATAGAGAACTTAACATTTTTGGTTTCTCAAGACGTATCGTAGCCAGGGCTTTTTTATGTCTTTCAAATTGCTCTTCTGACATTGCAGATATATGATCCTAATAATAATATATATAATATAAATATTATAATATTTCAACAAAAAATTTATTCTATCAGTTTATAAGAAAATTTTGTAACATAATATTTTTTTATTATTATTATGTTATCTCATGAGTATTATACTCACCAACATAGAATTCATAAATAAATCGATTCGTTTTTCAACATATTGCGGATGTTTGTCACTTTGAACTATAACTCGCAAGCCTTGCGCTCCATTCGTTCTACGCACACCGCTAAATACAATATAGCCTAATTGTTCCTTAGTTCTTAAAGTATTGAAGCAAGGTTCCGAAATAATTTGTGCTAAAAGTTCCAAGAGCATATTTGACTCTGTTGATTGCAAACCAGTTTGATAGTATATCTCTGTGCATGAACTTTTATGCAATTTATTTTCTGCTTCAAATAAGAAGTGGCAACCTATAATAAACTTATGTTTATTATTATGTATAATATTATTTACATTTTCTCTCCTCTTTTTAAGAATGTTAATTTTTAAATTAAGAAATGAGATTTAAATTATATGCTTACCATCTTCCAATCTAATTTCACGATACAATATTAGTTGTCTATGCAATAATGGCATTATGTGAGGCACTGCACTTGTCAACTTGGATTCAATTAATCTAACTGTATCTGTGGCCTCCACTATAGTCACATTACCATGTATCAAACATTCTACGTGCACTTTACTAAGAAGTTGTGGTATAAACTGTTGAACTCTATCAACAATTAGATCTGTGTAAAATCAACAAGATTTTAATAGTATAAAAATTTTGAAAAACATTTTTCATACATACACATTATTAAAAATACTTAAATATATAAATATAATAGCTTAAATATTTAAATACATATATTATTTAAGCATTATAAATTAAGAATTAAAGTAAATAAATTCTTTAAAATTTAAGAATTAAAATATTTAATTAGATAAGTACTTTATTTGCAGTAAGTTTTAATGAAATTTTTGAAAAGAAAAAAAATTAAAAAAGATTAAAAAAAGAATTATTTTAACTTTCAAAAATATTATCATTTAAAAATATTTATGTATATATGTTTAATATTTTTAAATACAACAAAAACTTACGTTCAGTTGCTTCCAATAATTCATCTTTAGTCCAGACTTGTTCTGCTAACAGAACTGCAAGATAGTAGACTGCATGTTGATAGGGCTGCTCAGCCACAAAATTTTTCAAGTTCCTGATATACTGTAAGCCACATATTCTACATAAATATGCTGCAATTTAACTTAATAACAATATAAATAATTATAAATCTTATTGTACATACACTTTCTTTTAGGATTTCGAATCTCTTTGGATCAATTTTAAAGTTTATCATTCTGTCCATAATTTTTCTAACAATACATGCTGCTTATCGTCGTAACCACCTATAGCAAGCTAAAAAAATATTTTACTTTGAGTAAAAATAATTTTCAATGATTTTTAAATTATTTGAGATAGATATTATAATATTATATTGACAGACAAAATTATACAATAGTTTACATTAATATTATTGTTATTATAAACCCACTGTTATTCCATATTTGCTATTACTGAGTTCCCACTGTAAACCAGCTAAGTCGGCAGCATATGCATATTCATTGAGAGAATCACGAAATAGCTGGACAAACATATAACTTAAATTGCAACTAATGGGATCTATGTATGCGAGTGGGCTAAAAAAGATTTAAAAAAAGATAAGATTAGAAAAAGTCATTACATTATGCACAAATGTATATTTGATATACTTATATATATGTAGCTTGTCACATACCTGACGAAATCGAAGATCATCTTAGCTCTTGGTACAAGAAATTCGTCATCTTTTTTAAACCAAAGTCTTATAAACGGTGTATCCTCTATAATTGTAGGAAATTTTTCTATCTAAAAATTTTAGCAGCTAATGTAAATGTTGACATACAAATAAAAGATTCAATTAATTCATAAGCACTGGCTTACATATGTACCTTGTAATATTAATAATCTTGTAATATTAATAATGAAATATGCATAAAAAGTACCTTAATAAACTCTCTTGGATTAATACTCAATTTTATAATAAGTTTTATGATAATAGATCTTACGTTTCGTTAAAATTTCATATTAGATATCAAAGAGTGCTTAAGAATTAATATCTCAAAAATTAACAATTTTAATTACATTAGTTTCATGCTTCATATCAAACTTAGTCGCTATAAATTCATTCTTGGGAGGCAATTGCAAATCCGAATTATCGTTAACGTTCTCCCACATGCTAATTACGTCCACTGGTATCTTCTCTTTTTTGTATTTAGTGCCATACCACTTTTCCGTCGAGTTAGCTATATTTTCGTATACTTTTCCAATCACGTGAACTCTGATATTTTGCGGTGTTAAATACTCCATTATCTGATTGATAATGTCCGGTCGCCATTCAGGGAAAATACGTTCCGCACATAAAACTTCATTCATGGGATATTCCTGCATCGCTTGTACTGTAGAATTCACGTAAATACGTGGTGAAGATTTCTCTTTAAAACGAAAATTCATGTTCGCGATATCTCTATATTCCTGTAAATATAAAATCATGTTATCTTGTATTTGATATTAAAGTGTAATGTTTAGAATTTGTTTAAATACAAGATATCTGGTGAATCGTAGTATAATCGGCCAGCGAGAATATGTATAATTTCCTATAAGAAAAACAAAAATATATAATAAAAAAATAAATATAAAAATAATATAATCATAACTATTCTAAAATTTCTACATTGATTTTGTATGAAAAATATATCTGAATAAAGTTTATTTAGAAAAAAAGAATAAATATAATTGCGATAAGCATTATTTTCAAGATCACAATTTTCCAAAGACCTTTTTAAGATTTTTAAAGAGAGAGATAGAATCATATTACATATAATTTTTTCATATAAATTAATTTTTCATAAGTGTTATTTTTTGTTTCGTGTAACTGTTATTTGGTATAAACTTTTTTATGCATCATTTATGAACATATGCAACATGTTTCCAACAATTATGTAACACATTCGGGATTCATTTTATATTCCTTTTATGAACAATTTGCAAATTATTCTACGATTTACCAGACACTTCCTACTAAATTATTTCATTTCGTCAATTACATTGTAGATCCATTCAATTGGGCCTTTTTTTTAAGCATACTGATATACTGAAACATCAGTGTAATAATATCGTCAACATGCTTAATTCCTTCTTCGGTTAGATCGACAAGAACGCTGAAAAAACTGAAGCCTCTAGCGCCTGACCGTTTTCCAGATGCTAAGGAATTGCACCAACCGTTGGCCTTCAAGGCTGATAATAATGAGCCTTCTCCCTCATGTCCGAGCAGATGAGAAACATAATGTGCAGGCTATATCAACAAATAGAATAAGATATATCATTATTAAGATATAAATTGTCAAACATATTGTACATAAGATTTATATGCATACTGATATACTGTGTGTAACATTGAGAATTATTAAGAATTTTATAGAATATTAATTATTAAAAAGTTTATAAGACTTATATAAGATACATTAAAAGAAAATTGACTTTATAAATTCTATGAGATTCTAGAATTGATAAAGTCAATTTTCTTTTAATGGAAAATTTGAGATAGACAATTTATGGTTAATACTTAATTATTAATATATGTTATATATTTTTAAACTAATCTTTCAATTAAAAAATTTTATCAAAATATAAAGTCTACTTTAAAAACTCTAAACATACATACATGCATATATATATATATATATATATACAATAAAAAAGTTGCATTACCGCAGATCGATAATATTCTTGCAAGTCAGGCAAAGGAAACGTAATGTCTAAATTCCTCATATCTTTTATTGGAACAATGTACCATTTAGTACGAAAGCGTTTATTGTTAAATGGGTGTTCAGGCCATACTGGAACTTCAACTTCATTGTTTCGCACCTCACAAAAGAGGTCTACTACCATGTTTTCAAGTTCATCTAAACTCTCTAAACATAAAATTTGTTAAAATATAAATATATAACAAATATTACAATAATGAAAATTGTTGGAAAAAGATGCAATTTTAGTCAGAAAAATTAAAACAAAAATTATATATATTTATCATGAATTACATTTGCACTTATTGGCTTATGTTAATGTAATTAACTTAAAATATTCAGATTTGTTTTAAAAATAATCCAATTTCGCTTTTATTTATTTAAAGTTTCAATAATCATTTCATAATCACTTTTAAAAAATTTCGTACTAATTTATATAATTTTTTTTCATAATTTCCTTATTCAAATAACAATAAAAATTTTTTTAATGAGAAAGAATGTGACAATATATAAACGATTAATGAAATTGAAAATAAAAAGAAAAAAAAAACAACAGATTTATAATGAATATTTTGTTATTCATATTTTATAATCAAATCTTTAAATGCAAAATATTCAGATATTAAAATAATGAACAAACTCTTATATGTAAATTATTATCTTACCTTTGCCAAGAATGCACAATGACATAATATTTGCAGAATAATACTTTTCATGAAACTCAAGTAGTCTATCTCTAACATTGATGTCTTTCTGTTTTGGTATTATGTCTAACGTTTCTCTATTACCCGTGCCGAATTTGGAAAATGGATGATCAGAGTTGGCAGACGATTTGTCCAATTGATCAAATCGCCAGGTGTCATTTGCTAAATTTTTCTCGTGTTCCGAATTTATAGCATTTAACTCCAATTCAGTCAAAGTCTCTGTAAACAGAGGTTTCAAAAAAAACTGGGCAAAACGGTCTAATGCACCTCCTAACTTCTCTGGAGTTATATCAAAGTAATAGGTGGTATGATCTGAATGCGTTGATGCATTACTCGCACCACCATTCTGTGACAAATACATATTATAATCATTCTGTTGAGGATACTTCTCCGTTCCCAAAAATAACATGTGTTCGCAAAAATGAGCTAATCCAGGCAAATCATCTGGATCGCACATATAGCCTGTAACATATAATGAACAAATAAGTGTTATTATTTATGTATATTATTTTTTTTATTAAAAACGTTTTACATTAATTTGAAATATTTATAAATATATTGTTATCAATCTATGTAATATTTCTAAATATGTATAAAATAATTTTTAAAAAGGTTCTATAATTATTTTGCAAATACTCTATATCTATAGAACAGTAAGATAATATGATTAATATTACCTATATTAACATCTAGTGCAACAGCACTCTTGTCAGTTGTTGAATCACTTATTAAAAGTACTTTCATTTTATTAGCAAGTACTAAACCTCTATACAATCTGTCATCATTTTGTGATTTTATTATATCATCATATCGTTTTTCAACACCTTTGTGAGTTGACATATTGATTACCGCAGCTTTGGATTCTAGAATATTATTTCTGTAAACACATAAAAAAAAAAATTTAAAAAGTAGAATTTATGAAAACTGTCACATAAAAATGTTACTATTAAATATTTAATGTCAACAGTTTGAATTAAATATAACATTTAAACACACACATATATATTAACACTAAATTTAAAACTGTATATTGAGGTCATTTCTTTGCACAGGTGGTTTTTTCTGTTGTGATATTTAGAACTAAGTTCTCTTTTTGAGCAAAACTTGTAATAATTTTATTACATTACATACAAGTCAAAATTAAAAATTAAACTCTTATAAAGTATAAAAGTGGCATGAAAAAGATATTAAAGGTGTTATATATAACCCCAGTGTACAGTTTATGTTATGATTCTGGATAATGTACAATTACAATGGATCATTAATTAACTAATTCTTACTTGCAGTCACAACTCTCCGCAAGCGAGAACTTGTCATTCTGATAAAACGACGTCATCGTGAAATATCAATGATAAAATTTCGCGCGAAGAATTATAATAATACACAATCAAATTATATATATATATATATTTTTCACTGTCACCAGTAAAATTTCACTGATTTTTGACAAACATCCTTGCTTCGCAGGATTATTATTGGACCAATGTATTTTCTCTCTCACGCAAATTAACTCGGAAAAAGAAAAATAGTAAAAAAATTGACTTACACAACGATTCTTATTAGAAAAGAAAAGTCACTGAAAAAGATACCCTTAAGGTTAGATTCCAGCGAATGATTACGAATTTGAACAAAAGAGCTGAAATATCGGGATAATCTCTCGATATTATCGAAAAGGTCAGCTGAAAAAAAAAAACACGAGATGTTGAGCTAAGCCTACGTTGATCTATCACAATTTATCAATCGATATGCACTCCGAGTGATGACAATGCGAATACAATTGTGTCAAGTATGTATGTAGGTGTTCATAGATCATATGGAGCATGCAGGTGTACGAAGGATGACAAGTCGCATATCTTTGAAACGTATACACATACGCATACCTGAACAATAGAAAAGATTGCTTGAATAGAATGCGAGATTTTAACGTGTGCGTAGCGAACATTTAAATTTGCAAAATCGGAGTAATCGGAAAGACGACGAAATGACTAAACACACCTACACACACATGCTAGGTTATACGACACGATGTTACACGAGTAGTCACGATTTGAAATAAACGAGAATCCCGAGGATTTAAATTTGGCGCCACATTTCGCCATAATTGTTAGTTTTCAATGTGCAGTCTGATATTAGTTGAAATTTGAAAACGAGCGTAAAGAATATCGAGTTATCTCTCTTCGATTTCGTACTTTATGGTTATTAGTCGTGCAACGCTGTGATCGTGAAATTCAAATCGCTCTATCTCGAGTTTGACTGCTTAAAGTGTATTTCGCGCAAAAAGATTTTGTAGCAAGTGCTTAAATTGTTTGTGTCAATATGAAATATATACAGTATCGTCGCTGCTACGCGTCAGTATCGCGAATTCGGTATTTATTATTCATTTATTTATTGTCGTCCATGTCTCTGATATATTTCAAGATATCTTTCCAAAGTGAAACAAAGATGCTGATTATATGTCAGGTACAATATATAGTCATTATAAAATCGGATAAAAAATATTTTGTGTATTAAATTATGTTTATTTGACTAAATTTTAAGTTGATGCAATTTCATTATTTTATTATTAAAGCATCGACATTCGACTAAACACACACACACACATACATGCTTATATACAGGGTGTTCTGCAACAGATGGGAAAAAATTTAAGGGCGAATTCTCTGGCTAATTTGGAGACGATTTTTCCTTAGCAAAAATATCAAGAGAGGTAATCATTTTTTACAACTTTCCCATATTTGTCATTATGTATCTTTGTAATTAAGCCTCAAATTAAAATTTTATTAAAGTAAACTCCACCTGAAATTAACTGAAGAATGTAATTATGTTACATTTTTAACTTCACAACGTTTAGTTTTCAAGAAATCCATTTTTTTCAATCGCTTATAACTCGAAAATTATTGACTTCTCAACATTTTTGCTAAGGAAAAATCGTCTCCAAATTAGCCAGAGAATCCGCTCTTAAATTTTGTCCCACCTGTTGCAGAACACCCTGTATAGTGTGTAGCCTGATATTGGCTGAAAGCGGATCTAAGAATATCGAGTCATCTCTTCAATTTTGTGCTTAACTTCACACTTATATTAGTCGTGCAACGCTGTGATGGACCGTGAAAGCTAGCACTTTAGATTATACTAACGTTCGACTGTTTAGAAGTGTATTTCGTGCAAAAAGATTGTAGCAAGTGTCGTATAAAGTGTTCCTGTTTAATATGAAATATATGCAAATTCGGTCTCTCTGATATATATTTCAAATATATCTTTTCGTCAGAGTGATACGAAGATTATGCCAGGTTATGTCAGGTACCACATATATATTGCTATTAAAACTGGATAAAAAATATTTTGTGTATTAAATTTATGCTTTGCATGGCTAAATTTTGAGTCGATGCAATTTTATTATTATATTATTGAAACGTCGACATCATTTAATCGTATCAATTTCCCTCCAATTTAACCATTGCTTTGCGCATGTCTTGAATATGTCGTCATCATCAGGGTAGAAAACATAACGGTGAAAATATTCATCACAGATGCGATAACCTAAATTTAGGCTATCCGCTAAAGATACGTGAAAAGCACGTGTAGTGAATAATGTTTCGACCATATCATTTCGCTAATACAGCCTCACGTGCTGTCATTAACAAAAACAATGCACGATTTGTAAGTTTTCAAAAGTTGAAAGAAACATTCAAGCATCTCTTGAGCACGGATTCCAATAAATTACCGTATGAACATGTTTGTCAAATTGGTGATCCTGTCCTACGTGGTCGTGCCATGCAGATAAATCCAGAAGTCATAAAATTGGCAGATTTTCAAAAAGTAATTATAAATTATAATTTTTGTAATGCCAAGTTTTTAAGTGTAAAATGTTAAATTAGATTAAAATATTTTTATAACATTTTTGGACAGTGATAGTCTGAAAATTATATATCATAAAGAAAAAAGTTATAATTTTCTACATGCATATATAAATATAAATAATAATAACAATGCTGCAAATAATTGTCTACGATGATAGCAAATATAAGATTTACAACAAATATATAGAAGAAAAAAGAAACCTATAGTTTGTAAAAAAAATTTTATGATTATAACATAAAAAATGTTATATATATTGAAATATGATATTGTGTTTGATTAAATAAAAATATATTAAGAAATACTATATAGAAAAAAACTTATGCACTATCTTATATATATGTAAATTTATTTAAATTAATTATGCTGATGTTTTAGTTTTGCATTCATTATCAATATTACTTGTTTCTATATAGAGATTAGAAAGAATTCAAAAGATGTGATATTTTTATGTTTCTTGAAGAATCAAACACATTGTTTCTATTTGTTTGTTTTAGTTAAATAGTTACTTATTTTTAGTAATTATAAATAATATCAAAATAACTTTGTACAAGAATTCATCAGTATTTTTTTCTATTCAATTTTTTCACAATTAGTTTATTTTTTAAGAATATTATTATTGTTTTTTCTCATTATTGTAGGAATTTATTTTATTATAATACATTAAAAATCTCATAATGCAATGCAAAGAAACAAATATAATATTATATCATTATTGATTATTCAGGTAATCAGACATTTGATAAATGTCATGCGGCAATATGAAGCATGTGGTATGTCTGGACCTCAAATTGGACTTCCATGGCAAATATTTGCTATAGAACACACGGAACAACATATGAAAATGGATCACCAGGTTATCAACAAAGTTCATGAGATGGAAATTATTCCAGTGACAATTTTTATCAATCCTGAATTAAAAGTTATAGATTATACGCCTATCATCTTTTATGAAGGATGCGAGAGCATTCGTGGATATTCAGCTGCTGTGCCCAGAGCTTATGAAGTGGAAGTTACAGCTCTGAATGCTTCTGCTGAACAGTTTACATGGAGAGGACGTGGATGGTCCGCTAGAATAGCACAACACGAATATGATCACTTACAAGTAAGATTTAGAGAAGAGAAAATATATACATATATTTAATATTAAAATATTATGTATTTATGTAGAATACACTATGAAAAATACACTAAATAATTTTGTTTTACTTTTTTTAGGGAAAACTGTATATAGATAAAATGGATATGAACACATTTCACTGCACGGCTTGGGAAAAAATTAACAAAAACAGAGGCAAAATACATTTAAATTATGGGCCGAAAAAATAAAATATATTGTATATTAGTATTTACATTGACTAAAACAAATGCAGTGTTTTTATATGAAAATTAAATTGCGTTTATTAATTGTCTACAATGTAATCTGTATAAAATATGTAAAAGTGACATTTAAATCATGTAATTATCATATTAGTATCATTTTGTAAGCTAGTCTCTTAAAATTGTTATTAAATTAATTTTTACATTATACATGTTTTTATTTATAGATAACATTATAAATAGAAGAGAATGTAGCATCTATACTATTTTATTTATAGAATAATATATAGAAAATAAATTGATTATATTCTTTGATTAAATTGAAATTGTTTTATTATTTATTTGAACTCAAAGAAGTTAATTAATGTTTGCTAATTACATGTCATGGCATATAATGATTTATCTTGATAATAGAAATCGTTTATATCTCAGTACAGAAGCATATAGTTGTTCTATCTTCTACATTGATTGAAATACAATAACTACATAAAAAATTAGATGTTTTATTTACGCATTTTCCAGGATACAATCATAGCACACTATCAGACATATTATAGGTATGCAGAGCTATATAATACCGAATGAAGAGAATAAATATTTTTTCAAAATCGTATTCTTACATGATTTCTATAGGGCGTTACATTTAATTGCTATCTTACTAACGCAGTTTTAAATATCGTTCATTTGTATTATATTCTATCACGTTTATATTTTTCAATGGTCTCTGAGATATGATATTAAATATATATATATATATATATATATATATATATATATATATATTAATGCAGATATAATCTATGATTTTTTTATTATATATGATTTGATTGCATTTCTTGATAACGAGAAAAAATTTCTAATTTTTTTATATATATTATTTTAAAAATGTATATGAATAATCGATTCGTAAAATTTTTTCTCAAATTACGACAGAGTTTATATTTTTCAAAGGAGAAGAATTCCAAAATAAAACCATTACCCGTCTATTTTTATTCAGAATAAACTTTATCTAGAGATTTGCGAATAGCTACAATATTTAGTACAAAAAGCGAGTTATAAATATCACGTCAGCGGTGGTATGAAAAGTTCTTTGGTTCCGAGTATATCCTGTTTATTGTTTCAGCGCGTCATTCATGTATAGAATGTTTTGGACCGTTCAGAGAGATATGAAACATGCTCGCTTTTTCTGATAATATGATCTTTTAGCTGCGCATTTGTTATCTTTTCATAAATAATCACGATTTTGAATATTTTCTTAATTATGTACTTTTTATTATAATTATGCTATTATGCGATGTGTCATATGTACATCTAAATCGTATCTTAAAAAGCGTTTGTTTTCCCAGAGTATTTCTTGCTCTAACGACATCTGAAATTCTAAACAAAATATGCGTCATAAAGAAAATTATAGATATTTTTCTTGAATTTGTTAATATTTAAACTGATATACAAAGTGAGAATAAATAAATAGTAATCATATATATCTAAAAAAAGATATATGTACATTAAAAATAAATAGTTTCTTTAAAGTACTATGCAAGTTACAATAATTGATAAAACAAATAAAATAATATTATATTAATATAAAAATAAAACAGGATATCTCAAACTTTATTAAAAACTTTAGACCGGCTTTATGATATCAATATGTCTAAATAGAAAAATGTGTGTTATTTCCAAGTTTATTTCATGAATAAGCGAAGTGATTAAAATTTAGACTTTTGCAAATAAAAAGTAATACTGTGTGAGAAGAGTTTTGCTGATTACCTACAGATTATCTACGTGTTCACAACCACATTTATTTAGTGTGCATATTCACACAGAATTTACAACGTTTGATTTATTAATGAGAAGCTTGTAATTCATTGCAGTTGGTTGTGAAGATACATTATATAAACTTAAATAAAAGTTCCACATTTGATTTTTTACTTATTGTTAGTGTAAAATATATGTGTGAATTTTATATTTTTATTCTTATGCTTATTGATTGAAGAGAAGTGTCTTATTTTACAACAAGACCAAATCTTATACCGAGCATTATTTTGAATTTCTTCATTTTTTCCCGGAAGAATTAACACATAGGAACACGACAATTATATACGCGCGCGTGCACGCGCGATGTATGTTATACATTATGAATCATTATTTTTTTTATTTAAACATTATATACACTCTCCTAACACCAATTATTCGCGAATTGTATGTCTCCGTTTTTGAAAAACAGTGTGTATCAATGTGTATGGAATATTGGTCCGTCCATCTTTTTACCTGACTATGAATGATACGTTATCAGTAAAGAGATATAATTCAATGAGAACAACAGAATTACAGTTTTTGAATTACACATTATGTATAATACAATAATAACACAGATATCATCACAATTACGTTTAGTGATAGAGTAAAACTCGACTAAAGTTTTCGAAATAAAATAATTGTGTCTTTTGGTATGTTACAGAGTGACTATCTAACAGCGGCAAGAAATGTCTTCCCTTCTTCCGAGATGTGATTAAGCGTAGCCGCGATTCAGCCGATCACGCAGACAGAAAGGAAGAAGCAAGGAATAAATAAGTTTCTTATATCCAGGTATGTACTCGTTGTTGCTGAGGGTTTTCCTCGTCCTGTCAGGACACGTGTCCTCTGGACTGCGAAGTCCTCCACTTTCTACCGTGACCTCGATGATGAGCCAACAGCCGGTCGTTTCCGCCTCTCATTGATTGCAGATGCAGCGGTATTCGCACCGTGCCTATTGAATTAGAAATAGGGCTTGTTTGCATCGATACATCGATTAGTACGTATCGTGCTAGATCCAATTATACTATGATAATTAATAGAGCCATTTCGCGTTGTTGTGTTTAATCGTATGCGTAAATTCAGGTGTAATTTGCTCGCGAATGATCGTTTTGTCTCGTAACAGAATGCACGAAAATTAAGAATTAATTCTAGAAGAAAATCTAAGTTAATTATGTGCTGATATTTTCTATAATAGCAACGTGTATAAAAGAACTTAACATATAATTAAAATGTGTATAAAAGAACTTAACATATAATTAAAATGGCAAACATATTTGATGGAATGAAATATATATGAAACAATTAAACGATTTTTTGATTAAATTTTATGAGGTTTTGGAAATTATATAATTATAATACATATTAATATATAATAATAAATCTATATAAAATATAAAGCTTGCTTTAAATTATATATTTATAATTCATAATAAAGTTCAAGATAGATTTCTATTTATTTAATTTTATGTAATAATATAATGTAGTACATATATAGGAAAAAGTAAAATAAAAAAATTAAGAAAATATAAAATACACATACGTACATATATTAAGATATGAACTATTTATAATTGTAGATGAATTTCTGTTTTGTTTTGACGCCAATTATAGAATCATGGTCTAAAGCAGTTGCTTTGTAGAAATAAAAAACATTTGCTTATTCCTTAACGTAATTTTCTTGTCAAAAATTAAAATTCTTTCAAAAGTAAATTGATATAGAATTTAGATATACTCAATTTTTGATCTTGTAAATATCTCTTGTAAGTTGATGTGATGCTAGCAAACGAGAAACCCCGTGTAACAATTACAGTTTATTTTCCATCACGCTTATTGCCTTCCTGGCCTAAGCCGAAATCGATATCTAACCACCGTGTACGAAACGAGTTTAGCCTGCATTGTGCAACATTCAACACTGAAAATGTATCCGATTCTTATTTCCCAACGAATTGCAGTGAGCAAATTAAATTCGAAAATAAAAATCAAATATAAATATATATATATATATATATATATATATATGATACGTCCCAAAAGTAAGATTTTTTACACTCCACCGAAAAATAGCGCCAAGAGGATCCTCTTAATTTAAGATGATATTCTTAATTTATTCTTATTTTCAGAAAAAAATATACTAAAATTTAGAGAACTTTCTTAAATTAAAAGGATTCTCTTGACGCTAAGAATACAATTTTTTCGGTGTCTCATTACTTTCGGGACACACCACGTATATACCTATATTAGATATGAATTGTTTAACATAAGATTATATTTCGTTGTTATCTTAAATTCGAGTGCATCAATTTACATGGAATTTCGCGATGATTAGCATGATGTGCAATTTCTGGACGTGACAACCGCGTCGTCGTCATTGTTGACGATGATATTAGGGACTAAATGGCATAAATCTATGGGGGAGGCTCGTGCATCCCCCTGTGTCGAGTTAGCGTGCTCGGGATGAGGCTGCAATTCGTTCTTAGGCGTCGTAGAGCCGGTGCTGCAAGCGTGTTCGGACAAAGTGTACGAGGACGTACCGTTCCTTGATATCCTGGTGTGCATGTCCGGGCTACCGGTACAGCTATAGCGGGATGTCACGGCCTCCGAACGCGATAGGGACGGTTCCGATGTCACTCGTACCCATGGACACCAGAAAAAGAACTGGGCGAAGCCACGGCGAAATCTGCGACGCACAAAACACGCAGAGGAATTAACGTAGTGAAAAATCCCGAATTTACTTTCAAGATTAAATTTTACCGCATGATATATGTGTATGGATAATTCTAATCTAAATATCTTCATTTCTTAAAAAATCTCTTATTGCGCTTGAAAAAAAACATCCGTAATTATAAATATTGAATATATATTTCTTTATATATTATTTTAGAATATGAGAAAGTCTGAAGAATATAATTAGCAGGTTTTTTAAAATGAATCAAAATTATTTGATTCAGAGCTCTACTATCATATACTATATAAAAAAAATGACTTTGTTTTAATACTTCTACTTTTCACGAAAAGAAGTTGTAGTTGCTGTAGATCGTAAAATTTTCTCATATAAGTGGGTCGTCTTTTTTCCATGATATCCCCGCGAGAAATGAATGGTCTAAATAATACATACATACATACATATATATATAATGTAAAGCATTTAATTTCTCGGACGAAATATCTGGCTGTCATTCCATTTACATTATTACATAAATCATACATCACATATAAAAAAATTGTAATAACAGCTATAATCGCAAAGTTTTTTTTATATAATTTATCTCTTTTTCATGTTATAAAGAAGAACAATGAAAAAGAAAAAAATGATTGAAAAGAATTTAGAAAGGCATTATAAAAACTGCTTGATTTTTCAAGGAAAATATTACGATGTTATTTAAAAAAAACAACTCAACGATAATTCAAATATATTTATATAGTTTTATTTTAATATTTTAACTTTCCGCAAAAGTATCAATTGTAATATAGTAGATTGCAAAATTTCCTTACATGATCCATCTTCTCTTTATACGTTATGCATACAGAAGAAGAATGGATCTTCTACAAGAAATGCATGTAATCAAAATCGCCTGATTTTTTCCTCAGGGAAATATCCAAATAATATAGAAGAGGCTCTATGATCCAATTATTATGTAAAGAATACATATCGCGTCATTATTATTGTGTTTAATGTCATTATGAGATCGCGGTCCGAATGCAAAAGAACATAATATAATAATTACATCACTTCTTATGTAATATTATATCACTTATAATATTATATCACTTCTTATATACATATTTATAACAGGGTGTCCATCGGTCAAGGAAATCTGGAAAACTGAGTATTGTCACGGAATTTTATAAATCTGGAATTGTCAGGGAAAAGTCAGGAAATTTTACTATTTATTTTTTATATTATTCTACATTGTCTTAATAATTTGAAATTTTTTATTAAATAAATATAAACTTTTCCTTGATTCCAGCACGCTAATTTTCTGTGTTGTTAAAAATCGATTCATCTACAGCGTGTTCGTTAATTTATATTTTCATTGTCGTGTTATTTTATTTCAATGTGTTTAATAGAGATAAAACTAAAAAATTTGATATAATATAAATAAAAAAGGTGATTATTTAAATAGGTTATAGTGACATGTTTGTTTCGATTATCGTCGTTTAAATTTTTCGACACTTGTTAGAGTCATTGCTCGAATGCTGCGTTATTAAAAATTAAAATTTAATCTATATTTACAGAATAAATTATATATCACAAATTCGAGAGAAATTGAAAAAAGGCAAATTAAAGAAGATTTGAATTTGATCCTATTTCAATTTTCTGAAATTGTGATTGTCTTGCAATCGCAAACTTAACTTTCATTGTGAAATATCTAATTTTAATACAATATTGTAGAATAACACTTTTGAATAAATATAATTAAGCTGAATATATATTATGTAAAAAAATCTTTATAATTATTTAAATGCTTAAATGCAGAACACTAAAAATTTTTTTTATTTTCTGGGAGGGAATTACTGCAATGACCTCTCTTTTTTTAATTAACTAATATTAAAAACTAATATTAGAAAAAATAAAACTAACCTGAGGAAAAATAAAACTAACCTAAGGAAAAATAATACTAATATTAAGAAAAATAATACTAATCTTAGGAAAAATAATACTAATATTAGGAAAAATGTATTTTTGGCAAGTTCTAAAATATTGAAAGTAAATATAAAATATAAAATTAAATATAAAATTGAGAAATGACGCGCGCTACGCACGAACTTTTGTTGTTCTAGTAATACTCAAAAGTCAGGGAAAAAATTAATTTCTGGTCTTGGAAAATTTGAAAAAGTCAGGGAATCTTTTTTATTGAATCTGCTGGACACCCTGTTATAAGAGATCGAAACATTTTGTCGCGATGACATATTAAAAAATTGTAATCTGCTGTTCGTATTTCAAGTGGCGAGATGTATTATATTATATATTCTATTATATTTTTTTAAATCACACTTTTTTTCTAGGACTGTAAATTCTTGCAATACCGATGTTAGTAAGGAAATAAAACGTATGCGTGTGACGTGTAAAAGAGGATCGGACAGAGGGTTTGAGGTCAAAGTTACGATTGTCGATCGACGCTCTATTCATATTTTCATTTGCGGACGAAACGAAATTATTTCGATTCCTCGCTGAAGATTCGCGGCTTTTACCACGGTTAACGATGTCCCTCGAGTATACACAAGTACAGATCGACACATGTATGTATGTATGTATACATTTGAAACAACGTTTCTGCGGTGCTAGTCGATCCATCCTGTCCACGAGGATACAAATCGCTTATATTTTATCGAAATCTCGATCTAGTTGACCACGCGATTCCATTAACCAAGAGAAAGGAAATATTCGGCATTCAAAGTGGATCGCGTTTGTGTAAATGGCGTTAATGGTAGCACTACGATGTTATTTTCTGTGTTCCGTAATAACTTCGGTCTTCCGTCTACTCTCTATAAGTATCTCTATAAGCCGGATGAGCTTATCTTCCGTGCTACGTTGGATTAACTCTCGATAGTTCATCAAACACTCTCAATGAGGCAACGGCAATATGAATTGCATTCGAGTTTTCTTAATTAACAACTTCATTTAAAATGAAGTTAAATTTAAAGATCGCGATGAATGACCAATCTACAGATCTTTATAATTTTACAAATATTTGAGCGTATCCTGCTTGATGAGTTTTTTATCTCGATGATTTAAAAGATAGTATATATAATCCGAACGTAGTAATGGAATCTGTGAAAATGTGGAATTTATATATCACGTTTTAATAAACGTGATGTACAAAAATGATAGTAAACATGAATTTGAAATATTTCGAACCGAGAAATTATTTAATTATACCATATACATATAGTTCGAAAACGATATATTTTGTAGATCGGAGATCTGTGTTTAATTTGTATGTATAAAAATGCGCGTTAATTAGCATAGAATAATTTAAGTTAGTCTATGGTATCACGATAAAAGCAAACTTGCGAAGTAAAGCACGGTATCTGAAATGGCGAGAAGGAAACTTTCGCGAACTCTGTTAATAAATGAGAGGATTTGTCGATACTATGTTTACGTATTCGCTTATCTTATGAAGTAAGAGATGGACTCTTAGGAAATAAATCTGCAGTCATAACTGGCATTATGAAAATTTAATTTTCATTATAAATACCTAAATTTATGTCATATATTTTATGTTTTTGATCAAACGAATGTACATTGTAAAAACGAAGCAAAATGATGCACTTTTTTAATGACAGAATAGAAAAGCATAAATATCTCTTACCTGGTATTCATCCAACAATAAATTATCGGGTTGTACATGCTGTTGGACATCGCTAACCAATAAATGCCCAGAAAAACTTCTTGGATGTACGGTTCATTTGTAATCTCTGGCAAATAGGACGTCACAATGAAGTACACATGAAACGGAAGCCAACACACCGCGAATATCACTACTACGACTATCATCATTTTTACGACCTGGAATATAAAAAGAGTTTTCTATCAGTCGAACAATTATTAAAACATCGGTCATTTATCCGTGATTAGTTCTCTACGAAGACCTTTCCAATTTTGTCATGAAGATATCAATGTAAATATATAAAAAAACGAAAGCTGGTACAAAAGTAAATTCAGTAGACAACATGATAAATTTTCTATTATAATTTATATCACAATTTTGCGATCTTCATAAATCAGAGATAACTTATGCTTAAATTGTCCAAATAGTATAACGAGAAATAATGAACTTTGCACATATAATTAAATTAAAGAGATTATAATATAAACGTTATATTATATTTTGAACACAGTTTGTAACGTAAATAATCTCAATTATTTTATAAAACAGAATAGAAATAATGTGTAAAATGTATAATATTTATGTCATTAAATTATCGATATGATTTTAAACACCTGTTAGATTCCACCCATTTGTGTTACATTTGATACCGCGAACGAGGATTTTTTGCGAATTCTATTTAAATATTCTGCGAAAAATGTGTTGAGAAATAACAGGTAAACTCGTAGGATGAATTAATTACGGTTAGAAATGACGTGCAAGATTTAATTACAGAGCAGCAATAACGAGCGGTAATTGTATCCACTATCTATCTATCGTAGGATTTTCTGCTTTCTCTTTTGGGTCTTTTCCTTTGACATTTTGTAAACCGGTCTTGTATAGAATAATGTGCCCGTTGAGAGTGGCAGCGTTATCGGCAATTCAAGTATTTTTAATTTCCCGCCTGGCAAAAGCAATTAACAAGCTTCACGTTAATTATTATTAGTGCAGCGCGAGAATTAAACTATCGATTGTACTTCATCGATGCATTCTTTGTTTCGATTCTGGCAGTTTTGTTGATCCGTATAAACGCACATTACAATAAATATCTTTCAATATGTGTTTTTCTCACCAAGAGTTGCATAGATTAAATATTTATTAAATTTGTGATAACAAAGTGTTCGAATCAAGAAACTCATTTTTCGTTTTTTATTATTTTTACGAAATTTCTTATCTTTTTGTCGTGTTAACTATATATATTATGTTCTTGTCCATTCGATGAGAGATTCTCTTTTTTTCTTTTGAAATTAACGACGTTTCGCGCAAGGTATAGTTCTTGTAATCAGGCGAAGACAGCTTGCAGAGGACAGCTACTTGCTGAGAAATAACTTAAATTGGATCTCTTAGGATAGTTACAAACTATACTTCATTATTTTCTTTAGATAATTGAAAGATACGTTTATATTCTCCTCACGTATGTGCATATACACGAGTCAAATGTGCGGGAATTGTTTCTGATTTATTTGATTATAAATTGCAATACAATGAATACATACGCATCACGTCAATTTGCATTGAAAAAAATAAAATAAATTTTAATATTCCGGTGCAATCACGTTCGAAAAATTGTTATAAAGCAACGGACCGTGATATTCCATCCGAATATTTATGTCGACCTTTGGCAAGTGTCTGCGAGGCTTTGCGATACGCTCAGTATTCTTGTTGCTTCTATCCCACGTTCTTTACAAAGTCGGGTAAGAATCTGCATTTTTCTTCCTCGCTGGAAAAATCTACGGTAATCGCACCAGCGTTTTGTTCGCGGCAAACAATGAATTTTGAATAGCGCTTAAAAACTTGTATAATTTATCTTGTATAATTTATCCTTCCTTTTTTTTCTTTATTGTTTTAATTTTTTTCTTATAATTTTACTCATAAATTTTCTTCAAGTATGACTGATGAATATGTACATGGATGAAAAAAAAAAAAAAAAAACGGTATATAATCGACAAATTTGCATTACATCTGCGCAATGCAAAATATTTGAAATTTTTTTATTTTATAAATTTGACTGGAACTTGAAGAAAATGTGTTAATTTGGAATTATATAATGATTAATTGTTCGCGTGTATTTGCGTATATTTTCAGAGAGGATAGGAAGCGACAGTCCAAGAGACCCGAATGGCGAGAGTTATTAACGGATTCTCATCCATTCTTCCGGCAGTTGAACGAGAAGAATTGGTCCCCATTCATCAGGATTTCCAAAATAAGAAAAAGACTAAGGGGTTCGAGACAATTCAGCTCACGAAGCATACCCATTTGCCATATCTTATCTGGAAGGATACTGCGCGCGGCTGTTGGGTAAGTCTAATTAAGGTCAAGGGAAGTAGTGCGTCCCGACACGACTGGTCATATTATCCAACATCTATCCTTTCTCCCGCACACAATGTCAGAAGCTAGCCTCGCTATTAGTTTCTCCATTATTCTCACAGGTTTGTAATAGCGTACACATTCATACCTTACAAGCCATTTCCGTTCCTTGAATTTCCTTGACGTGAATTGAGTGCATGTCCGATACGATTTCAAGGAGAGTTTTCGTTCGTGACATTGCGTTTTTACAGTTATCACTGTGTAAAAAAATATAATCATTGAAAACTATAAAAAAATTTAGTTGATGTTCTCATTATTAGTTTAAGAATTGAAAAATTTCTCGTAATATTTTGAGAATTATTTACTTTCTCATTGAAAATTTGTTTAAGTACAGATAAGATTTAATTGTCTAACGTCATACATTTTCAAGAAAATGACATGAATTCAGTTCTTATCGTTCTCGTATTTAGTGTACGAAACACGTATTTCTACAAGAATTTATTATTTTTCTAGAGATATCAGAAACAAAAGATATTTGATATAACATTCGAATAAAAGCTAATGGGGCTATATTGCAAATGTATATACTTAAGTGCGCTCCAGATGTATTTGAGATTCAAATTTAAGAGCGACACTGCGAAGAGCTCAAGTGCTTTTCCTCTCTCGTTTCGCGCACACCTTTTCTAAACCACACATATTTCATGTGCACATTTCAAATATTAAATATGTATTACATATTTCAAATATGATTGAGAGCTTTTAAATTTTTTAAGAACACCGATAGTTTTTTCCACAGTTATCTAAGAACTAGAAAAATATAAACGGAATACATAATAATAGAAAGCTTTAGCTTTTGCTCTATTCGTATGTAAATTTAACAGAAGGAACGACTTAATTATATCATTTGACTAAATCAAATTCCACTCAAAAAAGCACTTTCCGGTTTCAAATAAATTATCTCCCAAAGAAAACTTATTAAAGAGATACGAGAAGATTGCGAGTATTTTTTTCAGAATAAAAAGTACATATAAGGATATATAGTATACAAATATCACGTATGTGTGTGCGGCTTAAATGATAGAGTAGCTATATTATAGGTATTGTGACACACCACAGTCTCTAACCAGTAGATACCGGCCGTTTGTGTCCACACATATCGTACGGTATGCCTATATAAGGGTTCAGGGTGCCACTTGTAATACACGGGCCGCCTCTGTGACGGACGTGAAACCCGCACGCCTGTATGTCGGCGGTCGGAACATTGCGTCGATACGATATGTGACGGAATGGAGCAACGATTCCGAATATGGCAGAGCGGACGCCTTTTGTCGTCTAATCGAAATCCAATGAGACTCTCGCCGCGCTTGAACATGCCGAGGAGGGTAGCTTAAACTAGATTCTCCTTGAGTTCGCACGAGCGCGAGCGTAGTTCATTGTTATGTAATCTCTCTTCTTCTTCACGCATATCTTTGGTATTCTCATTCGAAATAAGGAGTTTTTCCTCCGACAAGCATAGATGAATAATGATGGATTTTATGAATTATTTATGAAATATAATACCACTTCTGGATATTTTACTACATAATTTATATTAAATACTTCAATTATGAGAAATATATGAATTGTATAAATCATTATTACCTGTGCAGTGTTACGTATAAAAAATTGATGTTTTGTGCTTAAAAAAAAACAAATTAAAACTCAAAGCGTAAAGACGAAGAGTTTAGTAACTGAAATGTAAATGGAAGACTAAGTCATAAGGTGATTCATTTTGCACTAACAATAAGTTTCTAACTTCATTAAGTTTTTGCATACATAGTTACTTTCATTATCTTTTGTGCACGATTTCTTTGCGCATATTTTTATAGAACGAAAACAAAGTTATAGTGATAATTAATTATCGATTAGATTTAGAATAGAATTCATTATGCACATGCAGGTGCTAATGTAATTCTTTTGAATTTTTAAGAACGTGAGAAGAGCGATAAAAAAAGTTATCAATTAACGTGATTTTTAATTTGTGGTTTGTCAATACTTTTAATTTAATGATTTTTCAAATTAAAACAGGTACTCTTATATAAAAACTTTGTGGCAGTTTTCATTACAAAATTTCTAAAATTAATTACAAAAATTTCGTGTCCTTTGTTTATATCGAAATGATAACGCGTTAGCATCGAATTATATTGATGTTGTGTGTGAAGTGGTTCGATAGATTGACTAAAGAAAATATGCATCTGGTCTCGTTGTATTAGTATATTGATTTACGCTCTTTGTCGCGAATTCATTATACATCCATTACATGACGGATCATTTTTACTTATCCGATAATTACGTTTCATTTATTTTCTCGTTCTCGCGATCGCGATTAGAGATGACATTTCATTATTATAATTGCACTTTATTATTATTATATTTATATCTTATACTATTGTTATCTTGCAAAAATATGTGTATGTGTATTGATGATTTTTTAATGTATTATATTCATTATATTACTATATATTATTATTATATTATTATATAATTATAATATAGCTATATAATTACATTTTTGCTAATATATTATTATTTTACTATAATCACGAATAAAATGTTCTTCGAGCTAAAAGAGCATTTAATTGCAGCGTTCGTGAAATGAAGGCAACGGCAAAGGTATGAAACATGTATCTTTGTATTTTTTATGATTTTTGATTGCAAAACGTAGATTCACAATGAATATTTATCGAGACATTTGATATTTCGTCGCTTGTATCGCGCAAGCGAGCATTACTTTTTTATTTTGTAATTATTGGATATGACTTGGTTTTCTTTTTATAAAAATATGCGAGCGAATTAAATCGCATAAGTATTTCTTTTAAAGACAAAAGAATCGCGTCCCTTGAAAGAGTATTATTCTCTTATTTCTCTGTTCTTGCGGCCAGAATTAACTAAGCATCCCAAAATCCCAACGTCGTATTATTGTCCGTCGAGAACAGATGAAACTTCCTCCTGCGAGCTTTATTGAGCCAGAATAGTCGGGAGTTAAAGTCAAAGCGCGGAAATAGAGGCCCGCGATGTGACCGAGTAAAGGTGCAGGGGTCAGCCAGCCTAATTACAAGTTACGGCTTTAGATTCAACCTCTCTGTACCTCTGTGGTATTCCGGTTGCTTATAATCGCCTTTCGCATGTATACGTGTGATTCGACTCATTGTTAAGTTTGAAAATCATTGCAGATTGCACCCAATTAGAAATAGGCGTCTTGTATTGCATAATGACATTTGCTATCTCGTATATAGCAAAATATATTTAAAAAATATGAAATTATCGCTAATATTAACCTTCGTATAGCTAATTTTTCTAGATGCCGATAGATATTCATGGAAATAAAATATATAATATATAAATATATAAATAAAATAATATATAAAAAAATATCATTAATAATAATTTTCTCTAAAGTTTGAGACTCGTACACAGTATCTCTGTAATATATGAATTTAAAGAAATTTCGTATAAAATTCGGACATCCTGTAGTATCTTTTGCATAATTTTTTTGCCTTCGCTGTAAATAGACAAATATCTTTTCTTTCTAAATGTACGGCCTCTATGAGAGAGCCAAATATTCATCCATAATAAAGATTATCCATAAGAGTCGTTAGGAAAAGATAAGGAGAAAAGACAAATTTCAGAATTCCTACGTATTACATATTGCAGCGCAGACATTATTAAAGAATTTCCGATGTTATTTATTTAAGAGAAAATCACGGAATATTCTATCTTTTTCCCCTAGAGTCGAATAAAGGCTAAAGCCAATATCAGATTATGAATTATTATCGTTTCATGCAAATCTTAATGCCGCCCCGCGTGTATTTCCGGATCTGATGGATTGTTATACACGATTACATGTGGCATATTGTGTGTGCTTTGTAAAATCAATTTTTACGTTATTTGTCATGATGATTGACACGTTAACATTCTAACAATTTCCTTCGATTGGACGTTAAATTCATTTTTCCCGAAAGCTTAGACAAACTCGCAACTTGGCTATCATCGATATGTTCGAAGGAAATAAAAGATCGGAGATTTTGATGAAAGATTCCTTTGACAATGATAAAGCGGAACGAATGTGATCGAAATACATTATATGATCGCTATCTTGTCACTTTGTTCACTATATATGTATAGTACCAATAATGCGTAGTGCTATTTTTCAACGTATGTTGTTACATCATTATAAAGATGATCGACGACGCAACGCTGCTGTAATAATCATACGAGACTCGTTAGAATGCAAAAAAATCGTGTTATATGTCAATTCATGTTTTAAATAACGTATTCGAGATTTATTTAGTATTTGGAAAGTTAGAGAGGAGAAAAAATATGTTTATTTTTCTCTTGCAAATGACTAAGAGACTGAAATTTGAACAGAAATAGTTTTAAAGTGTTCTATTTAGCATTAATAAATTAAGATATATATTGAATTTCGATTCAGCGATATATAACAAAGACGTACACGAAATTATTTATTGTTAGTTGTATTACTTCGCGTATATATATGTATATTAAATGAAGATACTGTATCTTCACTTAGCAAACTTTATCGCGAATTTACGAAACTTATCAATTATCTTTTATTTCTCTTTCGTTCAAATATTAAGAACGAGAACAATTTACTTTTTTTTTTTAATAGAATATTTCATCGTTATGAAAAAAAAGTTGGACACAGAAAAGGGGAAACCTTTTTACTGCTGCAAATCGCCCTTCGATCGTGAAACAAAAGCAATTTCAGCACCTGATTGTACACGGATATTTTTATTTATTTTATTTATATACACGATACATACCCTCCGTTTGCTTCGAATGTTCTCGAGCTGTCTGGCTGTGGCTTCGCCGATGCTTTGCGAGCCCCACAATTCCAGACCGACCCTGGCGTACGTGAATGTCATGGATCCGATTGGTAGAAAGTACGTCAGTATCATGAAGACAACGTTATACCTGAAAATCGATTAGAGAGTCATATCTTTACACGAGAGAAAATTTAGTTTTCGACATAATATTAAAATTTTTATTTTAACACAGCGTCCCGCATCAGAAACGTATTTTCCTTTCTATTTTAATCTAAACCAAATCTGTTTAAAAAAATAAGAGTCGACTTTTCCTAAGCTAGAAATCTGAGATCGCATTATGTTAACTAACATTGAGAATTAAAGTGTCTCGATGTGCCTTGTAAGCTCCGAGAGCTTAAACAAGTAGGAAAAAATTGTTTTTTTTTCCAATTAATTTCGCTTTTCCATAACAGAAAAACGTAATTTAATGTTTAATGGAACTGCAAGAGTTTTAAATCGGAAATTAAAAATGTTGTAAAAGTAATAGGCCGCAATGAAGTTTTTATTAAGGAAATCTTAATTTCAGATTCGCGCCATCAGATATTCATTAGGTATATAGAACGGTGTAATTTATAGTCTAATAGTCTAATTTATGTCAAAATTTCACTGAATCATGTGTTTTGTTTCGAGTGTGGTAGGGCATACTTTCGACATAATGAATTTAACGATAAACAGAGAGATAGAGAGAGAGAGAGAGAAGTGAGAGAGAACGGGGCCGTGACACGCGATGCTCAAAGGGAATGAAAATATCGTGGTATCGTGATTCCGCTTTCGTTCAAAAGCATGACGCGTGTAATCGCGCTTTCGGAGGCGTCGATTTCAAGTGAAAATAATTCACTAAATTCTCGATTATCGATCATATTCACCGCATGACGTGACGGATATTACGGCAAGTGTACATATTATTAGACTTAATGAAGTGATAAACGGTGCACGCATATTCCAGATTATTGTTTGCTAACGACCGAAGCGTATCGATGGCATTATCAGGTTGCAATTGGACGGACGATTAAACTGAGATCGCAGCGTTTTCGAAGCATGTAATCATTTCGGTACACGACCGCGATAATCGCGTATAATTGTCATTAATCTTTAGCGAATGAGATGCAAGTATCGATCTGCCGCTATCGAAATTTATGGCAGAAGAGCAGCCGGGTATTTAAATGCGCAATATGAAAATGCATGTAAAAATTACAATTTTTCATCAGATAAAATTTGCGAGATAGAGACGTAGACTGAATTCTAAAGATTCAAAGGACTCGAATATTTTATGTGAGCAAGTATTTCAAGAGAGCAGCGTAAATATATTCACATTTTTTTTCAAGTTTTAACTCACACATTGCGAGAAAGGCTAACATGCAAGAAGTGCGTTGACTAAATTATCATTAAAAATTTTCCGTATTTGAACGCGAAAAGTGGCGAAGACCGAATATTATCGTAATTGACACCGCAAATTTTCCTCTCCCTAATGATGTTTTCCCTAATCAAAGACAATTCTCTTCTATCTCCGCATACATTGATGACGTTAATTAAGATTAGCTGTGAAAGCGACGCTAACAGTTATTAACTCTCTCTAATCGCGAATATTTAGTTCACCTGAACGAGTTAAAACGTACTCAGTCAGCGTTAGAATTATTAATAAACGGTAATGAATTCATTAATAGATTTTACCGCAACTGCGCTACAATTTGATTACGAGGCATCGCGATTATCAATTTACAGTAGTTGAAATTTCATGCAATTTCTCGCTCGCGAACATCGGTGTTGATTCGAAACAAATAAAAAACTTGATTTAGAATACGCTGGCACGTATTTTATTAAGCTATAGAAAGCTGGTAAAAAAGAAAAGAGCGATCGCGTAAGCCTGTTTAATGGCAGTGAACGAACGAATGCGGAAATCTCCCCGGAATATTCGATTCTCGCCGCGTTAATACCGACATTTATACAAATTGGTTTCCGCTGCGCTCAACGCGAGGACTGCGTCTGGGAATGTTCGGCTTGCGGAAGGAAGAAATGTATTCGGAAAATCTTAGCAATATTGAGAGTGAGCTAGTCTTATGATAATGCATGCAGAAAATCGCACCTTGAAGTTGAGTATACCTAAAAGGAAGAAGATAAGCCATGAATTATGTATTTTATCGAATAACGATATACGTTTAGCGTAAATAAAAAAAGTACACGTTTTTCAACAACGCTGTCTGCGTGAATTATTGGATGATTAATTTGAGATGATAATAAAAAATAAAAAACATGGATAGTGTCATCAGTGCTTCTACAAGTTTAATCGTATTAAGTGATAATAAAAGATGGAACTCTATTTTCGATTAGTTTTTACGATCATGACTCGTGCGACATAAAATAAAGTTTTTCATCTCGCGTGATTTTTCAGAGCGGAAAAATTCAGGGAGGCTGTATATATCTATATAGAGTTTATAAAATGTAGTTTATGACGAAATTATATTATATACGCGATATACTATAATATACATTCGATTTTATGTCTTGTCGATATGCACGCAACTTAAAAAGCCCAAGCTTTCATTGAACCGGTGAAAGTGCTCGGGTGAACTTAGAGAAGACTCGATGTGTTTCGAGAGGTCAGTTTGAACCAAAATTTTTGTATCGACCAACGATGAAATCGACGGCACTGTTAAATTTCGGACAATTAAAGATAATTGAGAGAAGAACGAAATGAGCTTTGAGTGGTTGCGTGAGTCTCGCAATTGCTTTGGAGAAATTCTTATACCGGGTCGAGATTTACAACGATCGATATCTAGACTCGCGATAGCTTCGATTAAGTGACATGAATTATTTAGGAAAGTGCCGTTCGAAGCAGCATCTATATCGGGGATTACAAATTATCCGACCGCATGCGTGATTTTATACATGACGTGCTAAGCACGATAGCCAGGGGATGGGCTTTAGATTATAACGTGTCCGAATCTTTCAATTAAGAAGCAGGAAACTCACTTTGGGGCGAATGCGTTATCTTGACGAAACGTTTTCGCGGTTCTATCTCAACGTACAATCATACAGAAACGCAAATGTGGAACAGATGTTGATCTATAATTACAACCTGATCAGAGCCGATATAATCGCACGAGTGGAACATAAGTATTTTGAGGGAATCTCGATACGTTTACGGCGCACCGCATCCAATCGAAATTGAAATCTATTTAGCGCGTTAACCCAGAAACACCTCGCGGCGAAACGGAGAAACTTATTATGCGATGGTACGCGTGGCATTTGGAGTTTATATGTACTTGAAAACGTGAATTGAAATTAATTGTAAAATAATGCTTTTATACACGTATGACATCGATAATCGCACACAAGGGGTTTATTTAAAATAAATTATTTGATAAATATTACGCGAAGAATTTGGTATATCTATATCAAGAAAAACTATATATAAAATATAATATAAAATGCTAAAAGATTCGCGAATACATATTTATTATTAAGATGTTCGACTTACAAATATTCGTCGTAACTGAGTCCGTTGTCGTCCCTGTTCGGCCAATCGCTATAACAGACGATGCGAACCTCGCCGTTCATGAAATTCTGGGTGTAAGTGGTGTAGAAAAGCAGCATCGGTAAAGAAAGTATAGCCCCGACGATCCAAATAACGACTGCAACGCACAGCGTCGCCTTCTTTCCCATACGTGGTCTCAAGGGATTTACAATAGCCATGTACCTAAAATAAAATTTATATTAAAAATTATAATTAATAAAGAAAGCAGTTATATATAAATTAAGCAATTAAACTGTTTTGATCAAACAGCTTGATTAAAATATTATTTTTTAAATATTTAGAATAGGATATTATATTTCTTACTTAAAATAGATATTTACGATTTGTTGTAGATATTATTATAAGTATGCATACATATAATTAAAAAATAATATATTTGTCATGATATAAGATCAACAATATAATATCGCAAAACCCAAAATTACGGTATTACTTTCACCAAAAATATAATTAGGTGCTATGTTTCTAAGAGAATATTTGATGGCATGAGTTTTGTGACAAATTTTCCTTACTAAAGCCAACTTGCTTCAGAAAAGATAATAGCTCAGGCAGAGTATCAATCTGTTTTTTCTTTCCGAAAACAAGATACATTATAAAAATGTATCCTCGAACGAGGAAGATGCGAACGCAATCGGAGAATAATATCATATACGTATAGCGAAATCATGTTTACGCGACTGATACATCTCAGAAATAAGTTTTAAAGCTTTGCCGTAGGCGAGCGTATTAATATACATATATTTGATCTCTTTTTAGTAGAGAAAGAGAGAGAAAGACAGGCAAATCTAATCGTAAAATTCATATTACTGATTGTGAACGAAGATTGCTAGTACTATAAGAACGAAAAAGAAGGGTAGAGGCGCAGCGTGTCTTCCTGCAATTTCGACAAATGAAAGTTCGTGCAAAGGATCGAAAAGGTCAGACAAGAAAACGATGAAAGGAGTCGCGAAATCTATTTTCTAATATCCAGTAATCAGGTTATTTCGCGAGACACGATGTAGTAGGATCAAATCCCAGCGATATGTCAGAATCATGTCTCTCGCGAAATTGCAGCGATCTCTCTTCGCCATCGAGCAATTCTGTTTTTACGCCGCCGAGAGCGGATGTGTTCGCGCAAAGTTCCTGTTTTCTTGAAAAATCTCGCGAGAAAAATATGCCAACGATATCTAACAATGGAATAATATAAACGGAAATTATGCTATAATTTAGAATTCTTATGTATGTGTATACATATATATATATATGTATAATATATTAGCTAGCAGAAATGCGCTTCATAAACTCGAGGTGGATGAATAATGATGCTAATAATGATGTAAACTTATCCATTGTTATATGAGCCATCGCATAAATCCTATAGTGATTTTAATAGCTATGTGTATTAAATGTTAGAGATGAACCTTTAGCTAAAAATTTACATGAGAAAGAAAGAGATGTTAAATTAAACTCAGATTTGTGGATTAAATTCCAACAAGACTTTTCTACCTGTTCTGAGTGCACGCTAATGCGATTCATAATGAAGGAGAATACATTATGAGTCATCGCGCTCGTATACGATGTAATAAGCAAGAACGTGGCGGTCAAAAAGGATTTCGTGTTTAGAACAGAACTATGAAGGTTGAAAGAATAGAGCGAGGAACGACGCTTTTTTTCATTTCTGTTCACTTTAACGGGCTATTCGTTAGAGATCATCGTGTTCCCAGCGGAGAATATACAAAGATAAATGCGTCTACGACTGAGATGACTCCTGAGTGTATTTGCGACGTTTATGAATCGTAAACATGACAATATTAATAACAACAATTTGTTTCTCCCAAATGACAAATCGTTACGTTCCATTTTGTCGCGCAAGAGCTGAGCCGTGAATTATTTTTTATACGAACAGAAAATTTCTCTCGAGCTTCTTTCTCGAGGAGATCAAACCCGAGTTTTATTTTTATTTTGAAAGAACGCAGCTAATGTTTTTTTACATTTTAATTTATTATATGTATATATAATCCGACATCCGATTCTAATTCTGTTATGCCATTCTCAAAGATAAAATTACAACAAAGTTTGTCCGCGATCTGATCGCATTTGTCTCGCTACATCTTTACTCTCTTCGAACTTTCTTCGTCTTTGAGACTTCGTACGCACACGTTATTTAACACACAATTCTCGTTATGTGACGCGAATAAAAGAATCTAAACTTTCAAATAAAATATATTTCTCTTCAAGCCAGAAATTAGAACAATAAAAACAAATTATAAAAATATAAAAATATTTTTTTAAAACAATTTATATTATTTAATATTCCGATATCAATCGCTGCAATTTTAATTTTACAGAAAACATGTTTGATTTTTTCACTTTTCAGTGTGAATGAAATGTTTGATCTCTTGAAAATGTCCGAGACAATTCTGTCGATTTTTTTGGAAATATGATACTCGGCAAAACTGACATGTCTCGCATACATATGTATATACAAAGGTATCTCTCGACCTGAAATGTACTACATTTTCTCGCATTCGAAATAGGTAGTGCTGCACGCGTGCAGCAGGCAGTTGCAACCTGTGAGAACATTGTTACCGGTGTAAAAGCGGAACAGAGAGAGAAAGAGAAAGAGAGAGAGAGAGAGAGAGAGAGAGAGAGAGAGAGAACTTTAACGGCCGTCACAGATGAATGTCCTTGACGTCCTCAACGTGCTTTTTGCTCGCTGCTTCGCGAATGTTAATCCAGAGATGAACATTAAGAGGTACTATACGTAATGCACGCATGCCAAATTCCAGATTCTCCAAGTTTCCACGCTTGGTCCTTGTCTGGTTATACTGCGAGGATTTCCACTTAACTGGCTTGCGGCTTAATCCCAAGTTGCGATATCAATGTTCTAATGTAAGGGCCGAATATATACATTACGCTCTGACACGGTACCAAGTAGATTCTTGAAATGGGAATGTTATTATTACAGAGTAATTTTCCGAGAGATATAAATGGATTTGCTAGTCGAAATGGATCGGAATTTAAATTTTGAGAATATAAGATAGATAATATTGCTCGTACAATTCATGTTTTAACTATAATTCAGTTAGTTAAGAGATAATTACGTTAAGCTTACAATTAGTTAAGTTCTTCAATATTGCCGAGTTTATATACGGCGATTATAATTACGATTTAACTTTAGATAAAGCATTAAATTTACTTAATAATGAAACTTAAAGATTCGTTAATATATTCTTATATATTTATACATTTATATGAATATTAATAAAGATTTATATAAGTATAAGTATGTAAAATAATTCATAAAAATATATATATTATGCATTTTACATATTCATAAAAATATCAATAAATTGAATTTATTAAACACTTTACTTTTTAATTATATTTAATTTAAAACTTTTATTTGACTTTTGTGCGAAAATAAAATAGATAAATCATTGTTTAATCATCTATTGAAAACACGATAATATAAATAATATACGGATATTTTGAGTACGATTTTCACAAAAATATTTTGATATCTAATATTTTATATTTGTATATTACAGAGAAACGTAAAATTCGGGAGTGCCGTTAAAAGTATCGCGCGTACAAGTGCGGGAGTGCTGTTAAAAGTATCGCGCGCGTTGACAATCCTGACAATCTAAGAGGAGGAGGAGGCCTTGGAGAGGCATCAGGCACCGGCAGAGCAACCCTAAGGTAAATATCGTTAAAGGAAATATCGTTCCCGATTCAGCGACTTTCGGATCTATATTTTTCTCTCTCATTCATTTATTTAATTTCCGTAGGGAGGTTCGAGGGTATTGAAATTAAATCTCAAGTATGAGATTATTTTATATTTTAATATAATTTGTATATTTAATATAATTTATATTTAAGTCTTGGTAGTATACCGAGAGATTGATACGTGCCTTGTGCATAGTTTATTCCAACGAAAACTTAATTTTCGTTGGAAATGTACGCAGTATTATCCGCGTATGGCCTTCTTATTCATGATATTATTAAATATTTGTTATGTGTATATTAATTATTATAAATCGCATTAATTCAGTTTATTTGTTTTGAACAAGTTAAACAAGAGAAATTTAAAGATATTATATAAATTCTATAAAAGTTTTTATTAAAAAACTTTTTTTTTAATTTATAAAATTATTGTATTATATATATTTATTTCATAGATTCTTATTGTTATGTACCAAATATAAAGTTTGGCGTATCCAATAATTTTTTGAAATAATTTTATTAATTTGAACGTTGCTGTAATTTAGATTGTTATTTTTGTATGTTACAGGAGGAGACAACGCGTAGCTTGAACATCAACTACTCCGCTGTTGTGCATCGGTGTCAGTAAGTGAGATAAATTTTTATAATTTTGAGGTAACGAATTATAGATCGTAGTTGTAGATTATAGATTGTAGATTGTAGATTGATCGTTACCTGAAAATGGATAAACTAAGAATGAATTACATCAATCTTACTTATAATTTATTGGATTTTGATAAACGCCTTTAATATACGTACATAATTAAAGCATATTACACATATACAAGTGTAAATTAAAGTATAAATTGATGAAAGATATAAAGGATTTCAATTCTGATTTCACTTACTTATTTATTTAAAGAACACACTGATTTTATTAATTGTACGTAGTAACAACTGCATTATATGTATATAAAAATAACTTATTTTTACAATTTTATTATCTAATTTTTAGTCTATCTATTATATAATGTGACATATAAAAATACTTTGATTGACGTAAATCCAAATTATCGATCAATTAATTATTGATCAAAAATAATGTATATATAATATGAATGTTTCTTAATGAATTTTATTTTATTATAAATTTATTACAAATTTTATTATAAGTAATATTTTATATATATATTTTTAGAAAAATATAAATGAAACCATTTTGATCGATGATTCGGTGTTATGTTAAAGCAAAATTAAAGTGATTCATGACAAACGATTTGTGATTTATTATGATCGTATTTGACAATGACCGTAAATTGACTCATGCATTGGTGATGATAAGTAGTCGAAAGGGAAGGAATTTTTCCCTTTTATTGATATTTCTGATAAAGAGCAACGTTACATCTTTGACTAGATGTAGCTAGAATTTATTGTGGCCAATAAAGGTAAGTCCACTGGCCAAAAAATAGTTGATTTAATCGTGCAATACTATTTTAAAATACAGGTAAATAACGTATGCGATATATTCTCAGATCTAATATTGAGTTTTAATATTAAAATGTATGGATAAACATACACATACAATCAATTGTGTACGTGCGTATGTGCGTTACCTAGTTTTAGAATAAATTTTATGGTAAATTAGGACAATTGTTTTTTTCAATAGAAATTTATTATTTATATATATAAAAAAAATGTCAGATATTACATATTGAACTATTTCCTTTTCCTTAGTATAAAAAATTTTAACGCTTTAAATTTAAATCATAATTATACATTCTACATATGTATACATATAAATAATACTGAAGAATTTTCCGACATGTATTGTTTGTAAGCGCGTTTTAATTATTGACAAATTATTTTAAAATTTTCAAGAATGTCCTATATTATCGTATCAAATATATAACAAACGTAGATTTT